AACATATGAGGTTTGCTGGCATCTCTATGTCTCTAGGATAAGCCGACACATGTGGGTTCAAACTGCGTAAGGTGTCAATTAGTGCGCCATAATACGAATCTAATTTTTTGGATGGATACATACATTCAAAGTCCATGACCAATCTAACTTCCTCATCCATTAAAGAAAGTACCAGAAGGGAAGTTTGGGAATCAAATATAATCAAGAAAATAAAATTTTTTTGATTATATTTGATTATTTAATAAGTAAACTTATGGAATTAATATACAGAAATTTAATTGAAAATTTTATTTACCATTAAAAATATTGGTATATTGTTAATATCATTGACTGTTTCCTAAACTTACTCTGAATTAATTTAATTTTAAATTTTCTGTTGCGTAAAAAATTAATGGTTTAGTTTAATTTTGACATCTTAAAATATTTGAATTACTGTTTTCCATTGCAGTGGAAAAAAATAATTTATATATACAGTACTAGTTTTCTTGGTGTACTTAACACTTAGCCCATATTTTGAAAATTTCATCTGTTTTATTCAAGTTGTATCAATACAAATTACTTAGCTGACACGTTTTAATTCTAATTAAAACAGTACTTTTTTTTTATAAATCACAAAACTAATTTATAAGTCTTAAAATGAAGTTAAATGAATTGACTTAAATTTATGAATTACAACGAATTTAATTTCATTACGATAATTTTTTTTATTTATAGAATTAACAAAAGTATTTTAAAAAATGTCCTTTCGGAAAATTTTTTTTATTCTGTTACTAAACTTTCTTACCCCAAAATAAAATTATTTGGAATTCTTCATGAATATCACACTAATAAGAAAAAAAAGATTAACTAAAAACAATTGTATGTTACATAGTCATGTATTATATAACTTTTGAACTCTTCTTGTAATTTTAGTTATGATTAATTTTGGAATTAGAGAATTTAAATGTAGACACATTAATATATTTTATTATTTTTACTATAAGTAATAATAAAATTTAATCTATAAAAGTTTAATTTTAATTTTTTATACATATAAATAATATCTTTTTCAAGAAAGACAGCGGTTAGATTTATTAAAACACGGAAATGAGGAAATATAAAAGTCCATTAAACATTACAAAGAAAAACTTAAAGATATTGAAAAATAACAAAAAAATGAGATTAATATATTTAAAATATTTATTATAGACACCCATTTATTTTATATTAGTAGTATATTCTTATTTGTGGAAATGAAGATAATGTTTATTTTTGGGATTGCTAAGTGTGAAAATCTTTGCACAGGTAATTATGAATTAAAATATGAAATCTGAATCATGTAAGTTTCAATCTGATTCCTTTATATGTTTTTTATATCTAAGTCATTTCTTAAATGTTCATTTGATATGTTTGAATTACATGAAATTCTAAATTGTTAGGTTATAACGAGTTTAATGAATTAATTTTTGACAATTCTTAACATTTCTTTAGTGAATTTTTATTTTGACTAAAATTACAAATTTACAAAATATTTGAATCAATAAAATGAACATTATGAAATTATTAATGTAATAATATGTTAGTAAAAAAAGTTACTATAGCATTAGAAATAAAATCTTATTTTTTTTAGTTATTTTTATGTTTTTAAAAATTATTTAACCTGTAGTCTTTTCCCAGAATAAGAATGGAACTGATGTTCATTAGTCTACGTCAGTTGTTCTCAGTAGTGTGTCACGAGATGGCTAAATATGCCACAGATGTTAAGAAAGTATATTTTAAAAATAAGACAAAACCAATTTGTACGAAGTTTATTACATCATTGTAAACTAATAAGTAGGTTAGGCCTGTAGGGTAGTTGTTATTGCAATTTAGGGTTTAATATATATAAAATTTTGTACATGAAGTATGCAGAAATTTTTATTATTATACAGTGCACTGCCAGCCAAAATGTTTGAGAAGCACCGATCAACATATATGAAGAAAAATAGTTCCGTGTTCATTACAAAGTCGAATGTAATATATTGTCTTGTATATAAAAGATAAAACATATTCTAATATATCTGAAATTTCTAATAAATTTGCAGGAAATTTGAGATTACAAAAAACAGTCACATAATGCACATAAGAAGTGATACTTACAATTTTAGTTTTTATTCTCTATTTTATTACTTTATTACCGTAGCTAAGTAACAAAGCTATGGCAGCAGAAAGTGATACACATTCAAATCCAGCATATTGGTTCTGCTCTAATTTAGAGAAATACTGTAGTATTTATGAAACTTTACAGTACTAAGTTCATATTCATGCATAATTCTCTGCATTTCATGAGAAATTAAAGTATTTTATGTAATCATTTTATTAAATAAAAAGTGCATCAAGAGATTGTTAGTGATGAAAATGCATTTTACTTGTTAGAAATTTTTGGTAGAATTGTAGGAACTGTAACATTTATATTCTTTAAGATCCATACAGCTTATACAGAATTGTTAAAGTTAGTATTAGAAAATGGAATTTTTACTTTTGATTTTATTGTAATTAGCAACATCATGATAAAAAGCTGGCAAAGAACCTTTAACTTCCTGGCACTCGAACAAGAGGTCAAGGGGCACAATCCACCATAATGGATTGTGGACCCTTGCAGAGTTCTGCAGACCACCGGTTGAGAAAAGTGGCCTTAAAGTGTTGATTGGCCCTGTTGCAGACTGGCCACAATTATGCCTCATATGGATGGGCTCAATTATACAGCCTATAATGTGGTACCTCACATAAAAAACTTGGCTTGATTAATTAATTAAGCAAGCATTTATCAATGTTTCTTAAATACCATATGAACAATGTACAGATTAAGATAATATAATTCAATATAAACTGACTGTTACTTTCACAAGTTTATACAGGGTGTATTTTTTTATATTGAGACAATAATATCTTAAATGGATCTCATTATTTTTGAAAAAGGTATAGACAAAAGTTGTAGGGTGTCAAGTGGGTAATCAATTGGTGACCTCAGATGGGACCTTGACCTTGAAGGTCATTTGGAGGTCAAGTCTGTTTTTTCAATGGGAACACACATTTTTGACCCCGGAAATGGAAAGAGCAGGAAATTTTACATTCAGATATGCCCTTTATCTTAAGGTACAGGTGAAAGGTCAAGATTATTTTAAAGTTAAAATTAAAATCTTTTACTAATGGGAAACCATATTTTCATTACTAGAATAGAGAGGTAAAATTTACATTTTTTCACAACCTTATTACTTTCACCTTTAAAAGCATTCACTACTTTTAGCATTACCCAGGAGTAACAATGTGGACATAGTAGTTTTCTGCACCCTTTAAATAAGGTGCTTATTTTCAGTTAGTCACCATGCCTTTCACTATTGGGGTGCATGATTTCGGTGAGTCACTTTACTTCTCACCATTGCTTGAGATATTGGTTTTGGGGAAAATTTTATAACAAATGTTTAAAATGATGCTTTTCCACTTCAATGCATTTGTTGAGCTGTGCTTAAAGTTATCGAGCTTGAGATGACTTTCAGAGGTCAAATTCGGAGTAGTGAAGGTCATAGCTGATTGTGGAATTTTCTGCTCTTTCCATGTAAATGTAAATTTTACCTCCCTGTCTATTCCAGTAATAAAAAGTATGGTTTTCCCATTAGTAAAAGCTTTTAATTTTAACCTTAAAATAATCTTGACTTTTGACCTAGACCTAGACCTAGACCTTAAGATCAAGGGCATATCTGAATGTAAAATTTCCTGCTCTTTCCATTTCCAGGGTCAAAAATATGTTTTCATTGAAAAAACAGACTTGACCTCCAAACGACTTTGAAGGTCAGGGTCATGTCTGAGGTCACCAATTGATTGCCCCCTCGACACCCTACAACTTTTCTTTATACCTTTTTCCTAAATAATGAGATCCAATTAAGATATTTCATTGTCTCAAGATAAAAAAAAAATATACCCTGTATATCCTGTGTGCAGAAAAAGACCTTGTGTGGTTATACAAGGCATTTTTCCTATCAGATAAACCTATATTTCTAACAGAAAAACTATTTATCATAATACAATAATCTGTAAATTAAGAACAGTGTTTTATATTTATGATTAAGTCTTGACAAAAATACTCACTAATTTCAAAAATTCATATTTAAAATTTAAACTAGAAGTTCTCTTTACTTTATATAAATATTGAATTAAATTTAAATTTTTAAATGAAATTCAGTATTTACAAAGTTGGAATAGGATCAGTGGCATGAATATTTGAAGATAGTTCAGAATTTTTTCAAAATGTCACCTAGAAACTAATTTTAACAAAAACTATTCTCAAATTACAGGATTAAAGTTCTGGATATATCAAAGTAGAGCAATCTACTTGGCAGCTGAAAAAATTTCAGTGATGTATCTTTATTCCTGAAAAATGGCTTATTCATATTTATTAAAATGGTGTCAATAATTTGGATATTTGAAAGTGATTCCAATACTTTTGACTGATACGATGTAGTCAAATTCCTGGTCTTTTTCTTACATTTAAGTAACATTTTTAGTGTGCTTTTTATCTTCTGAATGAATAATTAAGTTTCTAAAACTAACACATGTAAATAAATTTATTTACACTTTAAATATACACCTACAATAAAACATGACGCACATCTTACAGTAATCAATAAATACTGTTTGCTTATTTACAATTAAGACAGCATGTTACAAAGATTCAATAATCTACAATCTATGTGTGAAATGATATCATTGGCACTGCTATTTAATTACAAATTAATTAGTTGGTCATTTGTAAAATTATAGAAAAAAATGTGCCAAATAAAAGTTGAGCATATTTGCATCAAAGTCAATAATTTGTACAAAGTGTTAAATAGTAGAAAAGACTTGAGCATCTTTATTTTTGCTCCCTCGAGGGTGTCGTCTCTTACTTTAGAGCGTAAATCTGGATACTTTGCAGTTATATTAGAGCTTTTGATAAGCAATACTCTAGCACCAAAGGATAATCTGTTACTCCTAATTTGTACTCGATAGTCGATAATTTACATAAGAAAATTAACCCGTTTATAATACTTTACGAACCAGCGAATATACAAAACAGACTTTTGCATAGAAAACGAGATAAGATCGGAGAGCTTCCTCTAATTCTCTCCAAACCTTTGGTGCAGAAATAAAATTGTAATCTGAATAATTGATATGGCAGTGTTTGAGGTTGCATAAAAGGACTCTTTTTGCATTTTTTCTTTTCTTTAACATGAACTGCTCTTAAATGGTAAATCGTTTTCAAAGAGAGACATTTTGACTAAAGGAGGTGATCCCAAGATACCGTTTTGTGAATGAAGTTGATATCGTTCTTTTAACTGGTTTAAAACAGACATGAGATGGGTATTTGCAGCATCCAAAGTTTGAATCTTTCTTTCTTGTGCATCAATCACTTTTTGTTTGGCTGCAATCATGTCTTGTAGTTCTTGCTGTTCGCGACGCAATTCGTCTTCTACTGTGATTAATCTGTTAATAATAAAAAAAGATTTAAATTTTATTTTGAAATATTTTTAGATAATTAAGAACCATTTCACTATTAATATGCCATATATCTTGTAATGGTGGCAAGCCAGCATTTATTATGCCCTACAAAAAAGAGGAAATTGAGTAAAGAACAAGTAAAAAAAAAATACAGAAATGGAAAAAGATAATTAATGACCCCTTTCGTTACTTTAAGATGGCAATTCATAATCAAAAGCAAAATTGAAACTCAGTTATGGAAAATCTCCAGAGATCAGTGATATTGTCATCAAGAATAATAATATCACTATTGCTCTTAATAGTAATATTTATGCTTGAATTCTTTTCTTTAGATATACTGTAGCATCGAGCGTTTATTTCATTCATATTAAAATTAATAGATTCGTATTCCATTCTAAAATTTAAAAATGGATTAGTTTGTTTTAATAAAATGCTTACACTTAAAATACATAATATTATCTGCTATTAAATCAAATTAAGAGATATATAAAGTATCTGCTAAAGTTACTAACAATGTTGTTCGTTGATTTCTTTAACATGCTTTTTGATGAATCCAGCTTGCTTCAATGTTTCATTTACAAACTCTTAACTTACTGAAAGATCTAAAAATTTATTATTTTGTAGATAATAATAGGAAGCATTCAATATCACTACAAGTACTAATCTTCCATTTGGCAAGATGTAATTGTTAAAAATTTTTAACAATTACATCTTGAAGAGTCTTCACTGTAACCTAATGTGTATTGGAGACATACCATATATCTTCCAATAAATGCCTGTTTATTAGTTAATGCTAGAACTTTCATTGATAGTGAATTAGATGTAACTTACCAGATGTTGATTGATTTGATATTTTCTATATACTTAAATTTTGTTTTTAGATTTTGTGATTTTAAATACAGTAGATACCCCTATAACGTGGGTTCATATAATGCAGATTTGTATATCGCGGCGAAAAAATTGTGACGGTATTCATATAAAGACACTAACAGAGACTCGTAAAATGTGGTAAAACATCATCGCCGACTCGTGTTGTGACAGGATTGGTCGAGCAGCTGAACTACTTACATGCTACGGACAGTTTAGGTGGGTAAGTTGAGTTTACTATTGTCTGTACAGTATATAGGCCTAAATTAGATGCTGTAAGTCTAATACAGTACTGTAATTTTATATATTTCTTGTGAAAAACATTTCTTATTCAACGGTCATAAAAATTATTTCTATTAACAATGTCTCCAAAGTTAAGTTATTTTTCTGTGAAAAATTCATTGATCAGAAAACGCGGTTGCCGTTTGTTGCGCTGCTCCACAACGAAAACAAGCTTAAGCAGTGGCGTGGTCAAACGATGCACACTCGGTAAGTAATCCTACAAATTTTTTGTTTATAGCATAGTTTATATGGATTATTCCCAAAAAATTATACGTGTTTTGGAAATGTTGAGTGAAATTAGTCTAGAATTGATTGAAAGGTTTTCTTCCATAAAATTAAACAGCCGTAGTCTGTAAACTGCATGCATTCCGGGCTGTAATTGGCTCATATATTTGAGGATTCCTACAATGCGAAATTCTTATAAAGTGGAACGTATCTACTGCATTATAGGGGGGTTGATTGTATATAATTACTGTATATAAATCTGTTGGTATTGGGAAAAATGTAGTAGCAGTACAAAGATACATCCTGTGTAATTAAAAGACACATCTTTTGCTTTCAAATCAGGAAATTATGGTAAATATGTCATTGAAATCAATTTGGAAGTTTTTATCTGATTGTTTTGATAAATAATTGATGTCACTTATCTAATAAAGAGGGGAATTTACGATGTGGAAACATTAAACAGCAGAGTTGACAGTCCAAGATGACAAGAAATTAATAATCAAATGATAGAGTATAGACCAATAAGCTTTGGCTATGTCTAATTACTAAGCTGTCAAACAATTTGAATTTAGAATAGTCTGGAAGAAATCTCCCTAGTCTAATGTGTTAATTTTAAAAATTAGGAACTAAAAAGATGGTAGCTTAACTGTCTATTTCTAATTCAAATTGCTTAATAAATTAACCATATTGTAGCCCAGTAACATATTAAGAATTTGGCTGTATCATTTGATTAATAATGTTTACACACAAAACCAAACCTGGTAATCATCATCAGCTTATTCTACTATTTCAAGTTATGTAGCCTCCCTTACATAATTGACCTCCATTTGTGTCCATGTTTGCCACTCTCCACCATGTTGTGCCTGCTTGTCTCCTTAAGTATGGATTCCCCGTGGATATTACATTGTGGTTGTCAGTCCTCCTTGCCAGATATCCTGCCCATTGCCATTTGAGAGATTTAATTCTGTGGATTACATCTTACCTGTGTTCTTTGCCTAATCCACTCTATTCTTGTGTGATCTCTCTTGGTTATTCCTAGCATGTATCGCTCCATTGACCTTTGGGCAAACTGTTGTTTCTTTCTTTAGTGTCCAAGTTTCACATCCATAACCCATGACTGGTAGTATGCATTGATTGAATGCTCTTTTCTTAAGGTCGATTGGCATTTTAGACCTGAAGATTTCAGAATTTTGTCTGAATGTAGACCATGCTAGTTTGATCCTCCTGTTAATTTCTGGAAGTAGTGAGCCAGATTTGGATATTACTTGTCCCAGCACAGTAATACCTTGGTTTTAGTTGATTTTGATTATCGTCGGTTTCAGTTTGTCGATTTTTTTTGCGAAAAATTTGCTTTGGATTTCATTGGTGTGCCCATGTGACCTCACTGAAAATTTGTAAAAACAAAGGGAGACTCACGCTTTTTCCTACTCGTTTAGCATTGTTTCTTGTAGTTTGAGCATAACTCTGCATGTCAGCCAAACAACTGCTCTATAACAGCTGGATGGCCAAGTGGTCAAGGTGGTTTGAAAGCAGTTGTAAGTTGCTATGTAGATAGAACATTGTAGTTTTGTGTGAGTAGTTACGGTTTAGACTCCACAGATTCTTAGCACCCTCTGCCCTTCTGACTGGATCCTGAGGTCTACTCCTCCCAGGGTCATTTGGGCCTATGGAGAATGAGGGCCATGTTTTTTCTTGTATCATGTCGTGCATGGGGTTGGTGAGGCAATGCCTCACCAACCCCATGCACGACATGATACAAGAAACCACGCTGCCTCAGTGCGGGTTGGCAAGGGGCAAGTGATGACATCCATTGGTTTTGCCATTTACCAATGAACCTTTGGCTAACTGCAGGGTTTACACCCTGGGCAGTGGGGTCGCCACATTCCTATGCTGTTGTATGTAATAAATAATTACATATGATGACAAAAGCAATTTGTACAGTATCCTAAGTATAAGATATAATTGGCAACATTGTATTTTCTATATTTGTTTTTAATATTTCAAGCAGTTCAAGTGTTATGTTATGTAATGCAATGCATGTATGTGATCCCAACATTTTAATTATAATCTTAGTTTGTCATTTTTCTACTAATGAGCTAATGCAGTTCTGACGTACATAGCTTGTTTCCATTAATGAAGGCTTTTGCAATATAGTGTAATAATTTTCATCCCACAAAGCTTGTTAGTTACTATATTTGAGATATAAAAATTGTCTGGTGTAACTTATGGCATTTTTGTTTGTATGGTGAATGAATTCTTGTAGAAAATTATTCCATGACTTAATTTTTCTGTTTAATGTATCAAATCACTTGCGCAGAAATAAGTAAACTAAAAGCAACTATTAATGAATGCATAGTATGGAATGTAATAATAATATACTTATTTACTCTATAGTCAAAGAAAAATATCAATGAACAGATGATTTTTCCAATTTTAAATGCTATAATATGTTAAAATTTAATGTATCTACAAAAACAGCAGCTGCGTTATTTTCCAGTGTGATGATAAGTAAATACAATGAATAAAATTTTTTTCATGTCTGTTGACTTCCTATATGCCATGTATTCAGAATTGTTCATCAAATTCACTATTTTATGCTATTACTTTAATATTATCCTTTCCTTCTCCTGTATGATTTAAATTTGCATTTACATAATTCTAGAATTATGGAAATCAAGCAAAGGTTTTGAATGACATCTGTTTATTCGTACATTTAAAATATAATTGTATTGACAAGAATTTGCAATAAAATTAGATTTAAATGTTACATTGCATTATTTCTAGGAGTATATTTTTTATGGAAGAAATATTCTGAAGAGCATTTATTCCATTACATGAAGCTGAATTTTATAACTCAAAATTTCAGTTGTTCAATGATAACTATAAAATAGGTAATAACTTCTCTTTGATTGATGATTTCATATAGTGGAAAAAATATTGCAGTCAGAGCTTTTGAAGTTATTAAATTCAGGGCATATTTGAGGAAATAAAAATGCTAATGCCTTTAGACAGGATTCTACTACAAATATGTTACGTGTCATATTAAATGGAAGTGTGATCTAGAAGAAATCAAATTATTACTTCATATTTTATGTATAAGTGATTCTTCTTTCATACAAGAAATAAATTCTAAAATCATGCTAATAAAAGAAAACATTTGCATACATTTTCATTCTTATAGTTTAAGTGAATTTAATAATAAGCAGATTCTTTAATAGGATAAATTCAGATTAATATTAAAAAAAAATTCCCTAATGAACAATCATGAATGTTCTTATCAAATAATTTAAGTTGAACTGAACATACATCATAAGTAAGGATGCAATAAATATTCATTTACTAATTTGAGATGGAGAGCATATTATTTAATTAAATAAATTAAAAATATGATTGTCACAATAAATAATTGCTCGTTCTTATTCTAAAATCAGATGTTGCTATGCAACTGGTACCTAGAACTGACTGCAAACTTTGGTCTTTTACTACAGAGAGACAAGATAAATGTTTCAGTTGATTTAATAATAATTTTATAAGATAATTTTTGTAATGGAATTAGAAAATGGCCTACAATAAAATAACAAAAATATTTTAATTTGGTTTTTAACTTTTGTTAAAACTCTTGAATGCTTCATTACATCTCTAAGTGTTTACATTTATAGCAAAAGTAAGCTTATTAAATGTACTGTACATGAATAATTTTCTAATATGCAATTAGTATGTCTGAATATCAAATTTTCAATTATTCCCATACAAAAGCTTGCTATGAACAAGAAAGAAACATAAATTAAAAAAATAATAATAAACAATTTTTTTTAGTATTTAAATTTGAGTGCTAGTAAGCATATTTATAACAACCATCATTCCAATGACTCATCTTTAAAAAATAATAATTAAGTTGTTATGATGATGGTTGCTTAGTTAACTAGGTTAATCATGTGAGTCAGTGATTAGAAAATTTAAACTACAAGTGTGTTGTCATCTGTAAGAAACTTTGATAATGAAGTATCTGAAAATGAAACATTGTCTACAACAGAATTTTAAATATGCAATTATCATTTAAGTATGATATAATACAAAAATCGCAGAAACTGACTCAGATGTATCATAAGTTTTGAGAATATATCTGCTATGATTAATTTCTTTAAACTAAAATATAAATATTCTGAACAAATACTTTTTAAGTAAAATCATCTTAAAATTTTGATTACTTACTGTCAGACAGCCAAATAATTTGGCTTCAGTATCAGTCAAATATTTGATATTTGACCAAATCATTATTCATTGCATCCTCAGAATGAACAATGCTAAGAAAATAAGAAATTTAACATTTTATAAAGACAATTTGAAGCAGCTATAAAGAAAGGAATAAATATATTTTATAGAACAACAGGAAATTGTAAAATTTTAACTAAAAGAAATATTTAAATTGTTTAGCTGTGTTAATTATTTAATTCATTACATTCTATAAATTAAATAAATAAATTATTAAAATATTTCATCATAAACATAAATTGTTAAGCTTAAATTTAGCCAAAAGATAAACTATTTTTAACAGATGTGATCAAATTTCTCTAAAAGTAGGCATTTATGTCATCGTCTTGTGCTAAGATTATTAATTAGGAAATTCAGGAAGATTTTGCTTACTGAACTAATATATCAGTTATGCTGCCTGACTTGTCCAATCTTTGTAACTGTTAACCTTGTAATAATTATATGATCCAAATTAATATACATCTCTGGAAACAAAGATTGGCTGGTGATTAATTAACTGCTAAAACATCTATTCTTCCAGAATTTTCTAAATTATTTAGTTTTGAATATAACTAAGTATTAATTATTAATCTTAGCAAAAGATGATGGCATAACTGCCTACCTTTAGGTCAGATTTCATCATTTAATTAATTAAAAATTATCTTGAATGTAGTCTGTATCTAATCTGGAAATAAGATTTACTGTTAAATTGGGTTTAGGTTATACTTAAATATTAAAAATAGGTTGTAGAGACCTATTTACCTTGTAATAATATTTTTCATTTGATGATCTTTTTCTTCTTGCTGACGACGTAAACGTTCTTCTCCTGCTTCTAGTCTGGCCTTCCAGTCGGCAACGACTTGTTCTGTTGCAGTTTCTTGTTCCGTGAGTTTCTGTTCTGCACCTTGAAGTTTATCTTGTAAGTCTTCCATTAGATGCCTTAGTTCTTCAACTTGTTGTTCATACTGTTTAAAATACGATTTTGATGACAACACAATATTCACAGACAAACACAAATGGCCAATCTTCTTTATGCAATACATATATCCGTCACCATAAATATAAACATGCATTGAAAAACATGCAAGAGTACACAAAACATCAAACTGGCGTGCTATTTGATAAGATAACATGCAGTGCATTTGACTCACCCACCTCTTCTAATGTTTTATTTAATGTTTTGCAATTGTGTGTTTGGATTTTTGTATGAGGTTCACTGTCCCATTCTTCATCAACACTAAATTAAAATAAAAAATTAAATTAAATATAAAACTAATATGATAAATTTCACTCAGTTTTTTTTGCACTTACTTTTGTTGTTCACTTAACAAAGAATCTGAAGAAACACCTTTTAAAAAGTCATTATCTTGGAGTGGATATATATTACTTGAATGTCCATTTGTTTGATATTGGACATTGTTGTTATAATTTAACATCGGCGATCTGCTTGCTACAGATGGCTGGGAACTTGAGAAATGCGGATTTGTTCGTGGTGCCGTAGACTTGAATGTACTACGGCGTTCTCTAGGTGGGGTGAAACCATCACTAGACGACGAACTTGTGTAGCAATGTCTATCATATGGAAGTTCAGGAGTAGATTCTGCTATTCCTTTATAATTAAAGTAAAAGTATTATTGAAATAATGTATTAAAAGTTTAATTCAGTATTATTTTAAGAAATTCATGTGCTTGTTTATCTGCAATGTAACTGAAAAACACTACCTAGACAAAGTTTTCCCATTACAGACATGTCTTCATTACTTCCTACAGAACTGCAAGGAGATGGTTTTGCTTCATTGTCTAGTTTGTTAGGACTTGCAGAATGTGGAAAATGGTAAAGAGGATTATTGAAAGCAAGTGGTCCTGGCAATGGTGTAGCTGGTGAACTTTTTGTATAAAATGATTCTAAATTTCTAGATAGCTTTGATAAACAGGATATTCCTTCAGCTGAACTATTTCCATTAGGTGACTCTGCTGTATGTAACATTGACAGATTTGAAAAATTAAATGCAGAATCTTGAGATAGTTCTGCAAGACTTCTGGGACTACTTGGAGGTGTTTCCAACCTTTCTGACACAAAACTATTGCCCAAGATATCACCGTAGAAACATGACTGAGCCAATCGCATGCAGCCATCTTTTCTTAACGACGGGTCTATACCATGACGCAGTGGAATGTTATCTCTGCCTTCTTTATTCTGATTCAATGCACTGTACAAGACATAATCATCTGCAGTAGATAAATCCTGAGCTGGGAGTTTTCCACTCCCTAATATAAATGTGTTTCTGTAATTAAAGAAAACAGAAAATATCTCTGTAAAAAATTATGAACAATAAACTCTTATATGAAAGAAATTATAACCACTATTCAAATATACAAGTTAAATATATATAATGATAAATACTTAAATGTTAAACATTTTTTACCTCTAATCTTCAAGACATTTAAACTAGTTTTTCTGTTTAGGTGTTTTTTACTAATATATTGGTAAATAGGCAATTGATTTTTTGCATATCTACACTTGAAATTTAGGAAAATAATTCAAGAAAATTTAAACTCAATTATGTATAATTTCAAAAATTTAATACCACTTAAAAAGGAACATTAAACTATTAAAATTATTTTTGTGACTTAAAAGGCAATATGTTCAGTTATTGTTACAAATGATTCAGAAAATTTTTTGAATAAAATTACATTAACTGAAATATCTTTTTAACTAAAAAATCATTTAATAAAAAGTTTGTCAAACTGAATCAATCCTGTATCAAATGTGTGGCACCACAAGATTAAGGCAATATGATTAATGGGAATTTTGTTCGTTGTGAACAGATCTGAACTACAATGGATATATAAATATACACATCAAAACGAAACCCAACATTAAGCAAATACACACCCACAACTGCCATAAATGATTGGGCTAAATTTGGATATAATGATTATAAATTAGAAATGAATTTGGCACTAGAGTGAGGTGTTAGGTACCATCTCGTACTAAATTAATAATTAATTAATTAAATAATATAATTTAGATTAAACTGGAAGAAAAGAATCAGCCCGAAGCAGGACTCAAACCTGCAACTCCCATTTACTGTGCGGACGCGTTGCCAATTATGCTACCTGGACCTCCAGTCTGATCTCCTCTTCCAGTATATGTAAGTTTCACACATAGCCATCGATGGTTATTACAGTGCCGACTGGGGACACAATTAATTTATTTAGATTAATAATAATTTTAATATGAGATGGCACCTAACACCTCAGTGCCAAATTCATTTCTAATTTATAATCATTATATCCAAATTTAGCCAAATCATATGACAGTTGTGGGTGTATATTTAACTACGATGGAATTGACTAGAATGGATGGTATAGATTATTTCTCCATCTATTGTGTACCTTTTATACCTACTGTTTATGATAAATTGTAGGAGTATGAATCAGATTTGAATCCAGATTCCTGATGGCTATAAGTTGACATCCCATTTGTCTAAATTTTTACAAGAAAATGTTCTATATCATGAAATTCAAAAAGTATTTAAAAATAACTGTTTCTGATAAAATGATTCATAATATCAACATAAACTTCATTTGCATTATAAATATATATTTAATATAAGAACTACTTAATGAATAAATACTTATATATACATATAGAAACCAATAAACAGTGTCTAATTTAGAATAACTATTCTGTTTTCAGTGTAAATCAAATATTAAGCAACAATCTTCTAAAAAATGGAAAAAATATATTATTGATTTGTAAAGTGAAATAACTTACTGTTGTAAAGAAGTGGAATGTATTGTTTCTCCATTTTCTTGACTAGAAGTACTTGCTTGTTTTGTACCACTATTATTAATAAGATGCTCTTCTGGTAATGACTGCTGGTGGAATAATGAAAATGGCTCATAGTCTATAGGGGTAACAGGACTATCAAATAATAATCCTTGTGCAGGTGAACTCATCTGTCTCATTACACCTGGTTGGGTTAATGCTGCTGACACACCATCTAAAATGTGCTGCAGGTGATCAACTTGGTCCGTATATAACTGTAATTAAGAATGATTAATTTCATTACTACAAAATATACGATATAATAAGACAGTACATGTATTCTAATATTAAAATGGAAAATTTTATAATAAAAATATATTCCTTAAAAATTGTTATTCAATTATTTTAAACAGACATTCTTTGATTTGTTATAAAATTTTTAACATGATTAACAATATAATTTGATTGTAGTAAAAAAAAAATTCAATGAATTTTGTTAAATAAACTCACATTAAATTTTTATGTTTAAATATAAATGACTTTCACAGCCATTAATTATGAAGTCAAATATACAATCTCGATGTGTAAATTATTAATTATGATAAATTAACAGTAAAATCAATGTTAATGTTCTCTTAAATTTCAGAAATCCATTAAGCTACATGGCAACTATTTACATCCATCATCTTAATTACATTTATAAATGAATTGTCTTGCGTCTTACCTTTTGGTTGATACGAAGGACGCAGTCATTCAACAAACTGTGCAATATAGATAATTCTTTTCCAAGATCAATGTAACCATCAAACTCTAACTGGTTTTCATGTTCTTTGGTAACTTGACTCTTAAATTTTGATTAAAAACATTTATTAATATTAATCTTTACTGTTAAAAATAATTAAGATTTCCAAATAAGAAACTTACAGAAATTTGCCTTATAAATGCTTTCATTGTGCCCCATTCTTTTTCCACAAAATCATTCATAAATTCCATAAAACTTTCTTTTCCTCCAAATCTAATTATATATTATTAACACATCAATATTTAATTAATACTTTGTCATTTTGATAAAATTTCTACTAATTTAAGAAATTTTTATAACATCTTACAAAAGAATATACAGACATCAATATATTTATTTAATGATTTCATATATAATTACAATCATAAATTTACTTACTTTGTAAAATTTGCTAATGTTTGAATGGTTTTAGCAACAAGAGTAAGATTACGCGCAGCACGACCCTGAGGATATTCTATAAAATATATGGATTGTATAAGAAAATAATATTTAAAATTGTGCTTATAGTTTTAATTTAAGAATATACCTTGTGTGAGATTAAATAAACTTGGTGATAATATTGCAGGACAAAGAAACCTTAAGAATATGGATGCACCTATTAAATTATCACTAAGTTCTTCTTTACCTATAGCAGCCAGAGACTGCCTACATTTATAAAATACATCTTGCAGTTCACTGTAAAAATTTATAATTACAATTCACTTATTTACATATTTAATTTTCTGTGATAATTTTGAAATATAACTTACGCAGGAAAGTAACTAGCAGAATTAATCACTTTAGCCCAAGTCATTTCAACGAAAGAAATTAAAGTTGATTGCTGGCGTTGAAGAACAGCATTGTTACATACTTTCATTGGATCAACCTATTAAAATAAAGTGAAATTTTCTTCTATATACTGAATAAAGTACAGTACAAGCATCTAATACTGTATATAAATATTTATTCTCTAATTCAAAAATAAAAGTTCTACTTTTTTTTTTAAATATTTGTAGCAAGAGATACAGTGATTAAAATAACAAATGACTTTTGTTTTTCAGATAAAATAGATTAGAAATTTTCCATATATTCAGGTTTTTATAGTTATTCAGACCTAAATTATGCATAAAATCATCTTAAGTAGATCAGCAAAATCTAATTTGGAATCAGTTTTGTTTATTTACTTAAAACTTTTTATTAAATTTATGTGATCTGTAATTGAAAACATCTTATGTAAATTGATAACTGTTTATAGAATACTTTAGAAGTATCCTTTACATCGTGATATATAAAAATGAAAACTAATTAATTTTTAATGTAGATTAAAAAAATCAAATATGTTGGATGCTTGATTTTTTGAGAAAAAGATTTATTTTTCTAATGATGTAATTAATTAAATTTAAGTGGATAATAAAATAAATTTTTTATATTACAATCTATTTACAATACTGTGCATATATATATTACTATAAAATAAAATTAATAATTAATTAATTAATTAAATAATATTAAAAGAAAACGATTCCATTTTCACGTGATACTAACTAATTAATAATTAATTAATTAAATAATATAATTTAGATTAAACTGGAAGAAAAGAATCAGCCCGAAGCAGGACTCAAACCTGCAACTCCCATTTACTGTGCGGACGCGTTGCCAATTATGCTACCTGGACCTCCAGTCTGATCTCCTCTTCCAGTATATGTAAGTTTCACACATAGCCATCGATGGTTATTACAGTGCCGACTGGGGACACAATTAATTTATTTAGATTAATAATAATTTTAATATGAGATGGCACCTAACACCTCAGTGCCAAATTCATTTCTAATTTATAATCATTATATCCAAATTTAGCCAAATCATATGACAGTTGTGGGTGTATATTTAACTACGATGGAATTGACTAGAATGGATGGTATAGATTATTTCTCCATCTATTGTGTACCTTTTATACCTACTGTTTATGATAAATTGTAGGAGTATGAATCAGATTTGAATCCAGATTCCTGATGGCTATAAGTTGACATCCCATTTGTCTAAATTTTTACAAGAAAATGTTCTATATCATGAAATTCAAAAAGTATTTAAAAATAACTGTTTCTGATAAAATGATTCATAATATCAACATAAACTTCATTTGCATTATAAATATATATTTAATATAAGAACTACTTAATGAATAAATACTTATATATACATATAGAAACCAATAAACAGTGTCTAATTTAGAATAACTATTCTGTTTTCAGTGTAAATCAAATATTAAGCAACAATCTTCTAAAAAATGGAAAAAATATATTATTGATTTGTAAAGTGAAATAACTTACTGTTGTAAAGAAGTGGAATGTATTGTTTCTCCATTTTCTTGACTAGAAGTACTTGCTTGTTTTGTACCACTATTATTAATAAGATGCTCTTCTGGTAATGACTGCTGGTGGAATAATGAAAATGGCTCATAGTCTATAGGGGTAACAGGACTATCAAATAATAATCCTTGTGCAGGTGAACTCATCTGTCTCATTACACCTGGTTGGGTTAATGCTGCTGACACACCATCTAAAATGTGCTGCAGGTGATCAACTTGGTCCGTATATAACTGTAATTAAGAATGATTAATTTCATTACTACAAAATATACGATATAATAAGACAGTACATGTATTCTAATATTAAAATGGAAAATTTTATAATAAAAATATATTCCTTAAAAATTGTTATTCAATTATTTTAAACAGACATTCTTTGATTTGTTATAAAATTTTTAACATGATTAACAATATAATTTGATTGTAGTAAAAAAAAAATTCAATGAATTTTGTTAAATAAACTCACATTAAATTTTTATGTTTAAATATAAATGACTTTCACAGCCATTAATTATGAAGTCAAATATACAATCTCGATGTGTAAATTATTAATTATGATAAATTAACAGTAAAATCAATGTTAATGTTCTCTTAAATTTCAGAAATCCATTAAGCTACATGGCAACTATTTACATCCATCATCTTAATTACATTTATAAATGAATTGTCTTGCGTCTTACCTTTTGGTTGATACGAAGGACGCAGTCATTCAACAAACTGTGCAATATAGATAATTCTTTTCCAAGATCAATGTAACCATCAAACTCTAACTGGTTTTCATGTTCTTTGGTAACTTGACTCTTAAATTTTGATTAAAAACATTTATTAATATTAATCTTTACTGTTAAAAATAATTAAGATTTCCAAATAAGAAACTTACAGAAATTTGCCTTATAAATGCTTTCATTGTGCCCCATTCTTTTTCCACAAAATCATTCATAAATTCCATAAAACTTTCTTTTCCTCCAAATCTAATTATATATTATTAACACATCAATATTTAATTAATACTTTGTCATTTTGATAAAATTTCTACTAATTTAAGAAATTTTTATAACATCTTACAAAAGAATATACAGACATCAATATATTTATTTAATGATTTCATATATAATTACAATCATAAATTTACTTACTTTGTAAAATTTGCTAATGTTTGAATGGTTTTAGCAACAAGAGTAAGATTACGCGCAGCACGACCCTGAGGATATTCTATAAAATATATGGATTGTATAAGAAAATAATATTTAAAATTGTGCTTATAGTTTTAATTTAAGAATATACCTTGTGTGAGATTAAATAAACTTGGTGATAATATTGCAGGACAAAGAAACCTTAAGAATATGGATGCACCTATTAAATTATCACTAAGTTCTTCTTTACCTATAGCAGCCAGAGACTGCCTACATTTATAAAATACATCTTGCAGTTCACTGTAAAAATTTATAATTACAATTCACTTATTTACATATTTAATTTTCTGTGATAATTTTGAAATATAACTTACGCAGGAAAGTAACTAGCAGAATTAATCACTTTAGCCCAAGTCATTTCAACGAAAGAAATTAAAGTTGATTGCTGGCGTTGAAGAACAGCATTGTTACATACTTTCATTGGATCAACCTATTAAAATAAAGTGAAATTTTCTTCTATATACTGAATAAAGTACAGTACAAGCATCTAATACTGTATATAAATATTTATTCTCTAATTCAAAAATAAAAGTTCTACTTTTTTTTTTAAATATTTGTAGCAAGAGATACAGTGATTAAAATAACAAATGACTTTTGTTTTTCAGATAAAATAGATTAGAAATTTTCCATATATTCAGGTTTTTATAGTTATTCAGACCTAAATTATGCATAAAATCATCTTAAGTAGATCAGCAAAATCTAATTTGGAATCAGTTTTGTTTATTTACTTAAAACTTTTTATTAAATTTATGTGATCTGTAATTGAAAACATCTTATGTAAATTGATAACTGTTTATAGAATACTTTAGAAGTATCCTTTACATCGTGATATATAAAAATGAAAACTAATTAATTTTTAATGTAGATTAAAAAAATCAAATATGTTGGATGCTTGATTTTTTGAGAAAAAGATTTATTTTTCTAATGATGTAATTAATTAAATTTAAGTGGATAATAAAATAAATTTTTTATATTACAATCTATTTACAATACTGTGCATATATATATTACTATAAAATAAAATTAATTTTTCATAAGATGTTCTAAGAATCATTATAGCTTGAGATGATAATCTTACTAAAATAAAAAGTTGTCTTTAATGATTATTTTATGGTTTCAATTAATAATTGCTAGAAATTCTTAAACTGTTAATGAAAATCTCATGATTAATGATATTCTAAAAATTATTATTTAAATATTATGCAGAAAAAATTATCATATAAAATAAATTTTGATATAATTAACTGTCTATCCATACAAATTATCAATGTACTAAATTATATAGTATACATGTGCTATATTTAGGAATTTTTACTTTATATCATGCATACATTAAGAAGATAATTTTGATTAGGAAAATGCTTTTATGAATTAAATATTTATTAATATAAAGCCAGACAAATTTTCACATTATTAAAATATCAGTAGAGTATATGAAGGATCAATATATATATCAGAATGATTATAATGTTTTCTGAAGAAAATTTCTAAATAATTAATAGTAATCATTATATTATTTCAGTTGTATATGATATTTTAAAATTAAACTAAATTCAATCAGTTACAAAATCAAAATTACTGCAGCTCAAAACTATAAAAGTATTGGTGGTTTATTTTATAATGTTTTGTATGCAACCCCAATATTAAAAACAAAGGCTTGAGTAGTTCACAGATTTGCAAGAACAATGATTATAAATTAATTATAGTTAATATAAAATTTGTTGAAAAATTTATTCTAAATTTTAATAAAACAACAACTAATAAAAAATTTATGAAAAGAATGATCAAGGAAAAAATTAAGAAAGGAAATTGTAATCCAAGTCATTAAGGATAAATAGGTTTTCCATTACTGGGAGAGGCCCAACCTGCTAACATTACTTTCTGAATGAATAATGATGTGTTGTTTTACATTCAAAAATCTTTAACTTGATATTTTATCGATATTTAATCCTGTATTATAGCTCATATTGAACCTTCTTCGTGCAACTTTTATATGAAAGTGTAAAGTTAGTTTTATTAATTAATATCAAATTATAATTATATTTATTGCATTATAAATTGAGCATATAAATATAAATAGTTTAGCTTTAAATAAAAATAATAATAATAATTTACCTCACAGTCTTCGGGCNCCTATGTCATATTATATAATGTTAAAAATTTGGATTCTAAACTGCAAATTAAAATTATTGTTAATAATTTAATGTTTATCCAGATAATTTTAATAATAATAATAAAGTAATAATAATTATTTTTAGTTATAAATTCTCTAAAATGAACGTTATTGATGAATAAAATTTTCAACACTTTCAATTATTAACAAAATAATAACTTTAACAGTAAAACTTTATCCATTCTGGAGTGGAAATTCTTTAAACTTCTGAGATTTGCTTTCTGTAGACACTAGAAGGTTTAAATTAATATATAAAATTCCTTATTTCTAAACCATTTGCACTTCTGTAAAGTAACTTAGATGCTTTCTTGTATTAAAAAAGTAAAATATATTTATAAAAGTTTGATGATAGTTCTACAGAATATGAATATACTGACCTACAGGATACAGATTTAGGTTTTTATTAAAAAAAAAGATAAATTTAAAAATAAAATAAACTGGGAGACAATCAAATTAAAAAGGATATTATTACACAACTACATATATAAAATCTTAATATTTCTTTTTGTAGTAATATTTACATAAAAAAAAAATCCAACTGAATAAACTGAAGGACATTCCATTATACAAACTATACAAACTATTATTGTAGATTTCAAAAGTGAACTATTTTGAATATGAATTAATTTTTCGTTCTTTTGACTGTCAAATCCACATTTTATCCTTATCTTTTTGTATAAATTAAAAAATATACAAAAGGTTTTTACTTGTAAATATCAAAAATAATCTATGAATGCAGTAAATTATAATGCTAATAAGGTAAGCAATTGTTTGTCAGAATCAATTATGTTAGCTTAAATTTAATCAGTTTCAAGAATGAACAAAATAAGAACAAATCAAAACTTCAGAATTATAGAAAACTGTAATGGTTTGTTATTAAGATGAATATTAGAAAAGACTTCTATAATAATAGCCAGAGAAATGGTTGTTATATACAGTACTCCTGTTAATTCTTTCAAGTTAAAAAAAAATAACAATAAATTAGTTTAACATTTATTTATATTTTGTAAGGTAATGAAATTAATGTTGATGTATTGCCATGGCAGCAGTACTGGAATTCTTTAATCTTAATTTGTTCATTCTGAATTTAAGATTTTTTGCAGTGATTTTAGATGTAATCATTTATTCTCTAAAGATGATCTTTAGGTTAGAAAATATTAAAGTTTATTTATTTTTTGTTTGCAAACTCAAATAAGACTTTGGACAGCTTCCAATAAACCTTTGAATTTTAAGAATGAACAATACATTCTTTTTAGTTCCGAGAAAAATCAGATAAATAATAAAACAGTAAAATCTAACAAACATTAATAGAATGATTTTATAGGTAATAAGATTTGATTGTTTTCCTTTATCATCAGTTTTCATTTATGCATATTTTTGGCATGAATTTCTGCACTGTTACATACTTTTCAATTCACCTAAGATTAACAGATTGTCCCAAATAGAATTATTTTAAAGCAAGAAATACATATTTATTGACAAACTTATCTGTTAAGCTACTTTTCCACATATCAAGATGTAAGAAAAATTTTTATTTCTTACCAGTTTATATTATTGTAATCTCTCATAGCCTTTATTCAAAACAAAATTCTATATAATTTTAACTTAAGTGATTCGTAAATACTTTTATAAAACTAATATTTTAAATATTACATTTTATTCTGCATGATAAAATTAAATATTGAAAACTTTCAATTTTAAATTACATAAAATTACATCTTACCCAGGAGAACATTTTTATCCCTGCGCTTTTTCTTGTCAGCTTCTCTGTACAGATTTACTGTGATCATCTCTAATTCTGGCAGGCTACTAAAATTTTAAACATGGTCTGCATCAGAATTCAAAACTAAAATATAGATTATTCTTTTTTTTTTTATTTCAAAATGTAACTTACTTTAATTCAAAACGTTCTCCCCAAAAACACATATCACTTTTTGGTTTAGATGATGTTCTTGCATATAATGTTTTATCAAGACATAATTCACAGAAGTATCTAAAAAGAGAAAAATTACTTTGAATTTCAAAGCTTCAGAATATCTGTGCGCACTAGAAGTAGTGTAACACACTTTTTTTTAGGAGCAACTCCTTTGACTTCAAGTATCCATATGTGTAGAGATTTTTCAGTCCTTCTCATATTTTCCTGATCTGGCTGAATAGTTCCTCTAAGACTGAATATAGATTATTTATTAACGTTTATCATTTTAAGATAAAAGTACTGTTAGTTTTCGTAATTTAAATGTACGTACCTCTTAACCCATCGGTCTCTTTCTGCTGCAGTATGACAGTAATAATATCGTGTGCTGCCGTCAGCAGTTAAATGAAAACAGTTATCCTGACCAAGAATGCTTGGATGCAGTGCCGAGACTTTAACATTTCCCTGGGATAAATCTAAGCTTCCCAAAACACTTGGACTCGACTGAAGTAGAGATTCATGAGAACGTGATGGACGTAACCTCGATGAAGGTACGCTGTGGTTAGCAGAAAATTAAATTTTTAATGGTTATTTTATTATATTTTCCTTTACAACTTTTTAATTTAAAAAGGAAGGAAGAAAGAAAGGAAGAAAAAAATATACCTTACTTACTGAGTATAGTATTAATTTGAAATTAAAAAACTTTTTTGAATTAAAATTTCTTATGTACCAAAAAAGTTATTAAAATTTAAAAGCAGGAATTTTGAATAATTTAAAAATTGAGGAAAATTTTTAAAATATCAAATAATATTATAGCTAGAAAATTTTCTTTATTTAATTTTTCATATCAAGATCTTGTCAAATAACTAAACAGAAAATTTTCATCTTCATTTTAATTAATTCCAAAGATCTCAGTCATTTCACTTTCATGCTGCATTAGATATCACTACTTATATTAAAAGAGAAAAATGAGATGCCAGCAAAAGGGATGAACATTACACTATAACAAGAACAAAGAAAAGCAGCATGCTTAACATATTTGGAGAGACCATGTTTAAATAACAGTTCTTTTTTTTAAAGTAAGAGCACAAAGGATTCGAAAATACTGATGGAGGAAACTTGCGGGTGAATAATAATGAGCTTATTGAATGAGTCATCGGTTCAGTTATATATCACTTCTAATCAGAACTGGCTTTCCGTCCCTCTTTGCCGTTAATCAACCGCCTACCTATTAAATGTTATTAATAGTTATTTCGATAGTGCCATAAAAGCAACTTGTAATTTTAACCAGAGACAGAGGCGGAAAAAAATAGATACAAGTTTTGTCGAATAACGACACTTAACAAAATTTGGATTTATTCTCATCTATATTTAATAACCTCCGTGGCTCGTGTTTTTCCTGGCTACGGGACTAATCGCGTCTCATAAATTTGGTTAAATTCAATTATACCGATAACCTGTTTCTTTTTAGATAACAATTTTATCTAATAAAAAGCGGAGATAAATAGATTACGAATGAAAAATTCTTCATTTATTACATCCGCATTAATTATGCAAACCGAATATATATTTTATCGATATTAATATAATCATTTAAAAAGTGAAGTTAGATTTTATCTTATAGTAAATTCTGCAATCAAATAAGTAATTAAAATTTGTCATGCAAATAAATTGCAGGCAATAAATCTTTATACGTACCTGTCTCCGTCAATTGTACATCTCTTCCTTTCCAATTTAGTCACACTCTTGGTTCTCTTAAGTGGATTACTCTTAAATGAACGTTTAGCAAAAAAATTCTGAAAATATTTAAAATTTTACATGTGTGCAAGCATCCTTTTCCCAATTTTAATTTTAATAAATCTCTAAACATTAAAAACAATTGAACAGTTTTACACTGTCATTAAGTTTTAATCAAGGAGAAAAAAAACCATTAGTTATAATATTTTAATGAATTTCCCATTCTTCTGAAAAAGACATTTAATTATTAAACAGATGTTGTAAATTATGTTTAAATATTTAAACTTTTAATCATTAAACAAACTCAAAAATTATAAACTGAAAAGAAATTTGATTAAAAAGTTAAAAAAGCAAACATTTAAGATGGAACACCTGGCAGAGTTTACAGTTGATATACTCCAGGTGGTAGGTCAATGCAAGTCTTATGATAGAATAAAAAATAACCTTAGAATAAAAAAAAAAACATCAGATATAAATGCATGCTTTATTCCTACTATCATATTATTGTAATTATTACCCCCATTTTTTTTTATATCACGAGAACAGTTAACAGCTATCAAAACAAGGTCTTGAATATTTAAACATTAACCTGGGATTAAAAAATAGGATTTTTCTTAATATATTTATCTATATAGCAGCATTTGTTAGTAAATTTTATGAAAAAGGACTCCATTATATTTTTTTAAGATGGTATCCATTATCCCCACTCTCATTTCAGTTTGTGATAATGTTATCTGACTTCTCAGAGAAACTGGGAAATTTTTACACCTATTGCCAGAGGCAAGTTTATATAGTGGACTTTGTTTTATGACACATCTGACATTTTTATTGACATTGGTAAAGAAATTGGAAACTATCTTAAATTTTATTCATTCTACTTTATAATTTCTTCTGGAAATTGCACTATAAATAGTTTTATTGCGGATTCCTCTCCCTATATTTGACAACTGTGATTTTCTCTTTTAACGATTCAAATGCAAGAAACGAGTGGATATCGTTCTCGAGCTTATATAATACATTACGGCCAGATAAAACTGGTGTTATGCAAATTGGACTAAAAATAATAACGTTAGACGTAGAGCATCCATTAAACTAAACGAAAATCCCGTCACATAGAAAAATTTTATAGAGAATTTTTAAATTTAAACATTAAATTTTCGCTTCAGGAGCTCTTATAGACATTTCTATTAATATTTCCATCAAGCATCTAGTGACAATCTTCAAGATTCGCCTCCGAAGCGAGATATATATATTTTTTCTTATCTCTTCAATGTTTCCGCTTTTTGTAATTATAAATTTAAAAAGAAAGAACAGAATATATTACGTCTTACTAATTATAGAAACAAAAATGATTTTTAAATGACATAATAGTGTGTTGTAATAACATAAATAGTTAAAAGTATCCATTTACTTCGTGGTATGACATTAAGAAGAATTCTTCCTGCAGTTTTATCGGCAATCAATACTTTGGCAAGGAGGTCATCCACCTTAGCAAAGTCTTTAGAAGGAACCTTGTTAGCAAACTTCTAAATGACACGTTTCACGACAATTAATATTGTTTATACCGAAACACGTGTCGCGGTTTCGAGTCTAAAAGAACCTGACAAATAATCGTTTAGTGAACGCCCGAACCAATTTTTTATACTTTAATTCGCTTGTTTATAATTATTCCACCATTTTTTAAATTCAATACATCACTCGAAATGCGTAGGAAGGTGTAAATCTTTTAATAAACAACCCGCGAAAGCGAAAAAATTCGCGGTTGCAACGGGCGATTCACACGAAGCTGACAATCACCCCGATCCATCCTTTAACTAGTAAATGAATAAAGGAGAGTTCGGTAATGACTTCAAATACCAAGTAATCGTCTTTTCGACTTTTTATCACAATTTAAAGATGAAAACGGCTTTCAGTTTCGATAGTTAATCGGGAATTTAGCCTTATATTATTATAAAATTAATACAACATTAAGCGATCGGAATTACTGATTAATTCCAAAATCAATTGTTTAAAATTGTTTTTTCGTAACGGAAATGGCTTTTTTTTAAATCATTTTTTTCTTCCTCCTTGTCTGTCATATCCATCTACAGCACGGTAAGTGTGGGTAGTTATAAGCTTTCTGTCTGACCGTGGATCCGTGGATTTAGATATGAACTTCTTTCTAGCTCATGTTACAAGATATGAGTATGAACGGGAAACACGTATTTTTAGCACCTATTCATGAATATCTTTGTTTTTTAAGGACTTAGGTTATGACATTTTCAAGCAGATGATTAAATTTATCCAGATTCTGCAGAAAATATGCTCATAAAACGAGAAAACTTTTTATAGCATTTTTTTTTAATATATTAGCGAATTAAAATATATTTTAAAAAATTAGATTAATATATAACTGTGTAATAATTATATACAAATATATTGCTTAATACTCTCTGGCATGCTAGAGAAGTTGTGTTTTTGCTTTTTTTTTATGAATTTTTATACGAACTTTTTGGAAAGAGCGCATTGAAAAATCGTGTTGCAAACTGTCAGAGTACTGAAAAATGAGAAAACGAATTTTTTAAATTGTTTATTTTAAACTAAAAATGCAATATTTTGCCTTAGTATGCACAAATGCCAAGAAAGAAGATATTCACTTAAGGGTTGCTGTAAGATGTCATATTAACCCATCGAGGCGTATCTATTTTGTTACTTATGATATCTTTCATTTTTGACACTAATTTGCTTCCATGTTTGAGAAACAAGGCAAACATCTGGTTTGAAAATTACAGCTGCGCTCTTTGCCCGTATCAATGTACATCAAAACAAGAAAGAACAAGTAAGAAAAAGTAAGACCGAAATCAATCATGCAAACGTTAAAAAATCGCTTAAACATAGATTATAACTTATTATATTTTGCAAGGAAGGGAAATATATATATATTTATATATAATCTTATCGCTACTTTTATCTTTAAATAAATAAAATTACTGTTATCTTAAAGGTAAAAGTAAAATTGTTTCTAAGGGCGATAATTAATTAATTTAAATTTAATATGACTGCTATAAAGTTTAATTAATATATTTTTTTTTTCTTCTTGAAATAAATTAAACGAAAATAAATGCTGCCCTACACTTTACTATATAGGTCCTGTACAGTACAAGTACTGTACATAAGAGATTTTTATGTAATTTTCCACATTTAATGTAAAATATGACGAATAAATGATGATAAAATCCAATCAGTCTACGAAAGGGCTAAAAATATGAGTGAATTCATTGGTATTATCAGAATTATTTAAATTTTTGATAATTAAAGTATGCAGAAATAGGTTAAATTTTCGAGACAAACAAATTTTGTATAGTTTCCGCGTAACTGAATTAAGAAAACAAAATGATTGTTTCTAGATAAATGGGACATGGATATTTACTTAATTCATAAATTACTGATATGTAAAATGAAACGGTTGTGAATAACACAACTAGTCCTTGGCAAAATAAGCTAAATATTTACATCCCATCATATTCCTATTGATTTAAGCGTACAAAAACTTTTTTTTTTATATTAGAAACGAAATTAGTCCCGGAGAAATAATTACATCAACATTAAATGACTAATAAAAAAAAAGAAATAGTTAAATGAAAGGAGAGGAAATATTTTAGTAATTAAATCATCTCGGCAGGACTTCTATAAAAGAAGTTTTTAAGGAGGAACATTGTCAAAAATTGGTTCAACGCCATATTTTTAATGTGGCCAAAATTATATAAAATTTAATGAAAGAGCACAAAGATTAAATTTAATTTTCTGCCTAATTCTTTAAGAAGAGTTGGGATTTTTTTCCCGTTAACCGTTCTGAGAAACTATAAAACTTACCACTATTCGAGAAGGCGTTGGCGTATCCATATTTCGTGCATTTACCACAGCAGGAGTACTCCCTCTTCGCTCAGGGCAATTCTTCTCATACGAAGTATCTGCAACAACAATAATAATTAGAAAAAAAGCTAAGGAAGCCAAGATGAATAGGCTACAATACAATATCTGACCCGCTATCCCTATACGATAATTTAATATAATAAAAATAACTTTAACAGATGACTTCATTAAGGTTAGCGAACTGTTTTATCAGATATGCCACATTTTGCGGCTTGATTTACTATCGGCTTTACTCGATTAAACTTTTGGCGAATGTTATCGACAAACCATCTCTTTTTTTTCTCATCAATACGTAATTATTGGTGCAGATGCTTGGCACGTAATTTAAGATCGGAAAGGGGCTTTTTACGCAATGCAGCACTTAAAAATCATCTTTCTATTCACTTTATGGTTTTCCAAAATGATTTTCTTTGTGTGTCTGACGCACAAACTACACCCACCTCACAACGGTAACGAAACTAGGCTAACAATTACCTCATAGAATAACCACACGCGGACACAGTCACACAGACACAGGAACTTTTGTTCTCCGAACGGTTTAGGCCCCTTAGGATAGTAATGCTATATTGTTTAGGGCCCAAACGTTCTACTCCCCCAGCAGCTGCCTGTACGCTTCTCCGTCTGCAATAAACTTTATCCTGTTCTTGACGGATAATTTATCGTAAAACTTCTACGTGCTTAGCTTAGATTAGAGGTTTTTTGGTAAATTTCATCGTAATGGTGAGTTTACTACCGGACACTTAGAACGGAACTCAATTAGTGAGAGTGTAAAAAACAATATAACGCAGATTTGGCTTCACACGTGTAATTGACCAATTGTGTGAAGATATTCGATTGTTTGAGGAAATTTAGTATGTTTTTTACACCGAAGATGTTAAATGTAGTGTCCCACAAACTAGGGTAGTAAAACACGTATTCGTTTTATCTACACATTAGAAAAAATAATAAAAAGAAAGAAAATAAGTGTTCTACTAGGAAAATTCACAAGTAACAAGAAGTAAATCAGTTTCATTGTTATCATAATCTTTTTTCCTCGGGATATATTTTTTTTCTTTACATTGAAAAAATATTAAAAGTGTGGATAAACATAACAGTTGAGAAAGAAATCAATTTTTCCCCCCCTCCTCGATGTTTATTCCCTTAACGTGCCGACGTCAAATAAAATATCTAATCTAAACTTAGTGGCATCAATCGATTTTTACACAAAACGCTTAATTTTATTCTAAAAATCAGGCAGTTGTATATCTCCATAGTGACAATCACGGATATAGCAGCGGAAATATTTTTACCGATCGATCGATCCCATACTTCAATATCTCTCCCTAGTAATTTTATTAGATATATCAATTATAGTACACTCTTCTAACAATATCCTGTTCTGAATGCAGGATCCAGTCGCACAACATCCGATACAATCTAAACTGCCATGCTCCATTAATCTGTGACTGGAAGGGAGGGGAAGAAAAGGAAAAAAAAAATAGTACCGAGAGCTGTTACTCTTGATGTGCAACCGGAATTTAACAATCTGTACAGGAAAATAACGGTCAGAACGAAGGCTAAATCAGGCTAACTTATGTAAAACCAAACAAGATTTGTGTGTATCCTGGTTACCGACTGTTCCATTTTGGGGAAGAGGTACGTTTACCCTCATTCAATCTAATGTTAAAAAAAATCCCCTGATTTCTATCATCTTCACCCTGCTACCGTCGCCCTTGTAAGACGTCATCGTAGTTATTTCCGGTTGGTTGACAGTCCCCTCTGGTAGGGAAGTGTCGAAATGTCCGGGTATGCCATGCATAGCTTTGTTCACGAGACTGGTTTTCTATAGAGAGATAAATCTAAAAAAAAATCACAAATATAATTAAAAGATCCCCGAATAGAGTGAGTTTAGATCGTAACTATTCAAACGGATCGATAATTTTATGAAAAAGAAGCCGATACGGCGTGAAATTTTAGCGCATCTGTCTAGTAGCCTATACTTTTTTCAATCGGGAGGATAATAACCCCCACGCCACCCTCAAACGGTGTATAAGAATGCCGACGAAAAGCCAAGGTTTTGTTTTAATTAATATATTTAAAATTCTACTCTAGCGTTTCTCGATAGTATATCAAAAGTCGTATATAAACAGCGGCCTGTTAAATATAAACACAAATGCACAATTCGGTAACCTAACTACAGCCTACTAGATTTACAGGAGCCAGTGTGGAACAATCAATACATTCTCTAGCGGCGGTTCAATGAGCTCGTGCAGAAACGGGAACCATACTTAACAAACAAATGCGTGCTATAGTCACTAAGTAATACCTGAACATAGTGGTTTCCTTCACCGCATCTATTTTCCCCTTCCGATGAAGCAATGCGTCATCTTTCACCACAATTCGCACGTTTACTCGGCACGCTTTCTCGTCACCATCTGGTCAACGGCGGAACGCCAAGCTGCCATCTGGTGGACGCCAGTCACGTGACTGTTCCTCACCCCAGAGAGAACCCTTTTTCGTCCTCCTCCCCTCCAGCTGCTAAAGACCTTCTTACATCACCTGCCAGCGAAGGTAGCGGCGGTAAACCCCGTTTTTAACGGTCTCGACAGATGCGGGCAACGACAGTATTATGTTGATAGTAACTGTTAAAACAAAAAAGAAAAGATCCTCCCCCGTAACAGCATCGAATGGGGAAAACGTAGGTTAGTTTGTTGCAGAAGAAAAGACGTATTACTCCTCGAAGCCCCGTTAATTCTTAGAATGCAAACGTTAGGGGCAAAGAACTGCTGAAAATATACCAATGGAATTTTTTGGTCTTTTTAAAAAATAACATGGCATGTAACACGCGTGGCCCTCACAAATTTAAGTATTTTAAAATATTTTTTTAATTAGAGGAGATTGCGTATAAAAGCCAGCCGGAATATTACTCGTTTGATCCTTACAACAAACAGAAAAAAAATTCTTATCGCTATCATACAGGCATACATGGCTTTCCTGTGGTATATTTATAGTACAGTTCCCTATGTTTACCGAGCTTCAGAATTGCAAGTGCCGATTTAGGGATGAAAAGACCGTTCCTGACAAATCCCTAACTTTTCTGCACGTTACAGATAATCAGTAAAAATAAAAATAAACGTTTCTAGTTATGAATTTAATTGTCATTTCCTTTGTTGAGTAATTAGTCGCGAGTGCTCTCGTTTATGTAGATGATTAATCACTGTTGGGTAGTTTTTAAGTAGTTTTATTTTTTGCCGCTAGACCTTACTCTCTTTCAATGTACCATGTTTACATTTCTGTTTTTCTTTTCCTTTTTCAAAGAAAAAAAAATATTTTTTTCGTGTCTAAAAAGTTTTGAATTGATGGGTTAGACTTTAATCCAACGACTCACAGATTCACGATATATTATTAATTCTTTTTCCCCCAAAATATCTAGAAATTTCGATGTCTATGACATCCGGATTAGATCGTAGAATGCAACGTGTTAGATCGGAATTTTTTTTAATAATTTAAAAATTTTGGCCAGAAATAAATAAACGTTCTGTTCCAAAAGTATTTCTGCACTTTTTTCCTAATCTATCTCTGCTTTTTTTTAAAAAAGAAAAATAAAGATTTAAGCTCAAAAAGTGCATTATTTTTAGACTCGAAGTAAGTATTTTCGGCGTAAAAAAATTGTTTTCGGCTTTCGAAACTAAAATGTATAATGCATGCCCTTACGGAAAACTTTCTGCAGTTGTTTAATTTCGATTCTAGTATAAAACTTATTAATTTTTGATAGAGGATATTTAATTCTTTTCTACGAAGAATTTCATTTCTTTCCCCCTTCCTTTTCGTGATAAAAGTTGTTAGCGACTTTACACGAGCCGCACAAAAACGTATCGTAAAAGCTGTTACCGCTTACAAATGTTCTTTAAATGTAATTTTTTTCTGTTTCTGAAAATATCGGATTACTATTTTACCCCAACGAACTTATTACCGGCTTTTCTAAAATTAGTTTTTAAGTACGAAAAAGACATATTTTGCTAAAATGTATGTCGGTTTTCCATCGCGTAAACTGAAGTTAATGTAACGCGAGATAGACGATACGATGAGGCGGCATTGGTTCGGATCTACTAAAAATCTTTTCTTTTTCCTTTTTAATCTTTAAAAAGTGTAGTAAAGATCTTTAAAGAACACTGCATTGACCTGTCGAGTCGGGCATATTATAAATCGGGGCGGAAAATATGCCAGAATCATACAAATTTATCAGCACAAAAACATCGATAAATGAAAGGTCGTCGACCCGAAAGTGAGATTTCTATCGACGTAAGTGATTAAAATAATATTTTTACATTATTTCGGAGAAATAATTTATAATTTTCAATTATTTTAATTATAATTTAAACGTTGACAGTTTATTTATGACGTAAGTATTTTTGGATGTTTTTTATTCATTCTACTTTATAATTTCTTCTGGAAATTGCACTATAAATAGTTTTATTGCGGATCCTAAGATTAACAGATTGTCCCAAATAGAATTATTTTAAAGCAAGAAATACATATTTATTGACAAACTTATCTGTTAAGCTACTTTTCCACATATCAAGATGTAAGAAAAATTTTTATTTCTTACCAGTTTATATTATTGTAATCTCTCATAGCCTTTATTCAAAACAAAATTCTATATAATTTTAACTTAAGTGATTCGTAAATACTTTTATAAAACTAATATTTTAAATATTACATTTTATTCTGCATGATAAAATTAAATATTGAAAACTTTCAATTTTAAATTACATAAAATTACATCTTACCCAGGAGAACATTTTTATCCCTGCGCTTTTTCTTGTCAGCTTCTCTGTACAGATTTACTGTGATCATCTCTAATTCTGGCAGGCTACTAAAATTTTAAACATGGTCTGCATCAGAATTCAAAACTAAAATATAGATTATTCTTTTTTTTTTTATTTCAAAATGTAACTTACTTTAATTCAAAACGTTCTCCCCAAAAACACATATCACTTTTTGGTTTAGATGATGTTCTTGCATATAATGTTTTATCAAGACATAATTCACAGAAGTATCTAAAAAGAGAAAAATTACTTTGAATTTCAAAGCTTCAGAATATCTGTGCGCACTAGAAGTAGTGTAACACACTTTTTTTTAGGAGCAACTCCTTTGACTTCAAGTATCCATATGTGTAGAGATTTTTCAGTCCTTCTCATATTTTCCTGATCTGGCTGAATAGTTCCTCTAAGACTGAATATAGATTATTTATTAACGTTTATCATTTTAAGATAAAAGTACTGTTAGTTTTCGTAATTTAAATGTACGTACCTCTTAACCCATCGGTCTCTTTCTGCTGCAGTATGACAGTAATAATATCGTGTGCTGCCGTCAGCAGTTAAATGAAAACAGTTATCCTGACCAAGAATGCTTGGATGCAGTGCCGAGACTTTAACATTTCCCTGGGATAAATCTAAGCTTCCCAAAACACTTGGACTCGACTGAAGTAGAGATTCATGAGAACGTGATGGACGTAACCTCGATGAAGGTACGCTGTGGTTAGCAGAAAATTAAATTTTTAATGGTTATTTTATTATATTTTCCTTTACAACTTTTTAATTTAAAAAGGAAGGAAGAAAAAAATATACCTTACTGAGTATAGTATTAATTTGAAATTAAAAAACTTTTTTGAATTAAAATNGGGGGAAAAAAATGCATAAAATAAAATTTTATAATATTCTTTCATACGTTTTCTATATATTTTATCACTTTAATTAAATATTAAACTTAATTTTATTATTATTATTATTATTAAAAATAAAAAGTTTATTTTTATCGAACGATGACTTCTGTTAGAATTTACTAAAATTTTCTTTGAAGTCGAAGACCGTATATCACAAGAGTTTTTTTCAAATTGTATTATCTTCTGTCAGTCGGCGGTGATATTCTATACAATAAACTCACTACATGTCAGGTGTTTCCGGAGAGATTTGTTTCCTTTTTTCTATTCCCTTCTTATTTTATTATTATTTTTCTTTTCTTTCTTTTCTATCAGCAAACCAAACAAATACCCGATACTTCCAGAAAAGAAGTACTTTTCTGTTGTTGCGAATTAGTACAAATAAAGTTACAACCGAGAAACAAAGCGTGCGAAACGTCTTCCTGTCTTATTTAAATCATAAACAAAGTTACGGTTCATTTAAAATATGATAATTACTGACCAATGAGAGAGCGGAGTTTCAAAAGTGCCGAAATTGGCGGCTTTCGAAGCGTACGTAATGGAATAGGATATATAAAATATAACAAACGGATTTACCTGCATCATCTATCTGTTCGACGGTAATGCAAAATCCCAAAAACCTGGATATTCTTCGTTTGAAACAACTTTCTCCGACGATACACTCAGAGCTATCCGAACTAACCATACTGTGCAGCTGTTGTGACACAACGTGTAGCACGCGACCGAACGGGACCAAAGTGTGGCAGACGGTGGACCCCCAGGGGTGAAGTAGGAACCACAGCTGCGCGAAATGAAGCTTACAAAAAGTCACACTCAACATCTGCCTTTTAAAAATTAAATCATATTTTTTACGTTTCCTTTAAAATATATTCCTTTATGTATATCCAGTTTGACCGGCTTCTGATTCCGTTATTTGTCTATATAGGGGTGTATAATTTTTCTGTTAGATAGTGCGCTAATTTAACCCATCTTTCAACTTCCCCAACCCCTATGCTTAGGGGAACGAGCTACCGAATCTAATTTAGTAACTACACAAATGAATCATCCTCGTAGTGGATCGGCATGCCCTTTAGGACGTAAACACCAAATTACCGAAAATAAAAGAAAAAAAAAAGTGACGTCTCACCTGATAAAATCGAATTTCTTGCCGATTCGTCGAATGACCTTTGACTTATTTTCCACTTACAACATCGACCATAATTACAGCCCATGCTTCTATCTGATTATTATTATGGACAAATCCCAGCTAGCATCCAGGGTTACAGGAAGTCAATTTTCCTGGGCTGAATTCAAGGAACCTATTGCGGATATAGGCTTGTGCATCGAACTTAGGCACGTCCGCACTTCCCAATGCGGGGGGAGGGGAGTGTTTAAAAAATGACGTTGCAAATATATATTTATATTAAACGAGATTAATGCCGACGTTAAATAACAACAATTCTGCCCCGTTTAAAACCGTTCCATCACTGCAAATAGTACAATTTCAAACTTCTTAAGGGCGTTAAAAATTCTCCGTCGATATTTCTAGATCCGTAACTCCGATAAAAATATCGAAAAGACCGTGATTTACGGCATAAAAATCCCAAATTATTTCTATTTTTATCATGGAAAATATAAAATAATTCGAGCTTCATTTCTTCAATAAAAATTTGAAGAGTTTTCGCCTCTCCGGAGACCATAAAAAATCCAATAATATGCTTTTAAAAAGTTAAGTACTATGCAAATTAATATTTAAAATGCATTTAAAAAAGAAAAAAGGCGGAGTGTCTCATATTTCATCGATTTTTCCAGCGAAATAAAATTCATCGAACGGAGCATTTATATTAATTAAGTAAGCATTACCGTGCCATATAACAAGTAATATCTGTTAATAATTAATTATTTAATTACAATATTAATTAGTTAGTCTAAAGTTATGTTATTAAAGTATAAATTAAGTGAGTCATTTAATTAACTTTGTAGTAGCGACCGCGTATAAGCCATAGTAAGTGGAATACCTTGAGATCCATCCAAAGAATACGATGTCGGCAGAGTGATACCGATGGTATGTCTTTTTGTGGAATTCGACTCTGATGCTGAGGGGGAAAAAAATGCATAAAATAAAATTTTATAATATTCTTTCATACGTTTTCTATATATTTTATCACTTTAATTAAATATTAAACTTAATTTTATTATTATTATTATTATTCCATAAACATTTAATTATTAGCCCGAGTTTAAAAGGATGCTGTAACGGATTTATTATCCCTAAAAATAACTATAAACAGGAGAGTTTAGTGTTCTTATTAATTAAAAATGGCCGAGATATAAATTTAAAAATTTTCTGTAAAGACAATTATTATAAGGTTTTTTTTTTTCTATCTGTTTATCTGAAAATGCATCCGTTCTATAATTCATCTTCTCAATTACAAAAATTCGACGTCATATCCGGGAAGTATATCCAAACTTCCGGACCGGGGAGCGAATTGTGGAACTTAGGTCGAATTGTAGAACATATATACATATATATATATATATATAAAGACGAAGATGAAGGGGAGGAGAAAAAATAAATTTTTGTTTGACCCACATTCTCTTCACTGTACGAGAATAGAAATGCATGCTAACACCGGGGACAAGGTTAAAGTTTCAAACTTTCTCCTATCAAGAAAAACTGGAAAGGCATCCGATATCCTGCACAACAATATAAATTTTTCTTGATAATTAGGGTGTGGTATGGAAATCGTGCTTCCAAAACACAATAGGGACCTCTCCCGTAGGGCCTCCTGTTGTACATTAACCTATTTTTTTTCCTCTTTCTTTTCAAGTTATGAGTTTAAAAATCTCTCTTAAACGGGACAAGCTACTTACAAATTCCATACTTCTTTCTTCTGGCAAATGACGACCATACTCCTCGACTGGACATCCCCCGCCAACGTTACACAAATGCATTCAGAAACACTTGTAGAACTTACGACGTCTCCGGTTGTGTACGCGACTCGGTACATCACGTGGTAAAGGCCGTGGTCGTTTCCTGGGTGTAACAGGATGTGTTATTGGCTGAGGAACTACCAAGACTGTCCCGAACAGACACACAAGTATGCGTTAAATTGGCCCCTTTCCGACTTTCTAGATTGGTTTCGTTCATTTCTTAATTTTTGCTTTTTTTAGTACGGCCGCCGTTTATTTAAGTGGTGACGTAAAAATTCCTTTAAGAATTCCGATCAAATAGAGTAAACTAAAGTGTTCTTATCACATAAAATTACGATAGGGAGTTAAATACCAAAGGAAACAATATTAAGCGTGCCTTTGTCTGACATATCTGATGTATATATATTAAGTTATACTCTGATTTTAATCACGGCGCACGTCCTTGTCCACAACACGTTTATATATTTATATACAAAACAATATCACGAGTAAGCTATATATAATAATGCATACCTATACAGTTTACACACTTATTTTTCGTGTAAGGGAGCATTTAATAAATGTATAATTCGACCAAACGTTTACTTCCTTTACTCGAATACTAATTATTTCTCCACATCTGCTTAACATGCAGATGTTTTTAAAGGAAACAGATGTCTTTGTTATCACCTGGTTCCTATTTAGACTTGGAATACTTCCGCAAATTTCCATCTAAAAAAACTCTACTTATTGAAAATTAAAATTCTCAAGAAGCCATCAGGAGAAAACAAGCGTAAAAATAATAAAAATAATATAATAAAAAATTCGAGAGTGCAGCTGAAAGTTTTACGTTGGCATTAATTAGAGAAAATATCTATAGCGACGTAAGAGTAATGAAAAAATATCGTAAATAATATAAAATACTCGGCAAGAGTGATTAATGGAGACATCTATTAAAGGATCGATAGGAAAAAAATTCATTTTGCTGATAATTTATATAAAGTTTTAATGACTCGGCCAATTTGATAAAGTGTGATTTATAACTGGCACAAGATTGTCCGGTAATATTTATTATTATTATTCCTCTAAATGAAAAAAATATATAGATTTATACATAAACAAACATTGCACATTCATATAAAAAACTTGTCTGCTAATTCGAAGAAAATAATTTATCAATCTTAAGAACTAATTGATAAACTAAGAAGTTGATTGACCTAGAAACAAGGTGATAAGTAGAAAAATAACGGTGTTCTAAGGAAGAAAAAAGCTGTTAAATTTAAAAATCTGATGGCATAAATTAAAAATAGAACAAAATAAAATCAAATTTATCAATTTAAAAACACGATAAAATAATAAAAAGACTAGTAAAAAGAAAGGGAGGAAAAAAAATCAATAGAAAAATCTAAATTTAGTTAAGGAATCAATAAGCAAAACAAAATTGTAATTATTCAATTTTAAAAACTACAAAATAAATAATAATAATAAAATACAAGTCGATGTAGAAGCATTTATCAAGAAGGGGAGGGAAGAAGAGAGAAGAATTTAAATCATGAAAAAATAAATATATATATTATATAATCGATAGAAAAAAAAGGCAATTGATCGTTATAATAAAAGCAGTTGTTTAATGTAAAAAAAGCGGGTGATCAGTCTTAAAAAAAAAAATACGGATGATCATTGTAAAAAGCGGATAATCGATGTATGAAAGCAGTAGCTCCGTACAAAAAGGCAGGTGATCAATCTTGAAAAAAGCAGATGCCCATCTAAAAGTGAAATGAGGTAAAATTAACATATACAAATAGGCCACTTCGTATTTACATCACAATACCCATACAAAAGATGTATTTATTGGTATAAATAAAACAATCGATAACACTTTGCATTCGTCTCACTCTCTCTCTTCTCCTCTGTTTTAAGAGTTCAAATTAGAAAATTTCGTAGCGCCATCTTACGAAATTTAAACGAACTATTACGTTTCGTTTAAAATTTAGAAAAATTCAAACGTAATTTTCACTAAAAATAAATTCTGCTTATAGTCTTATTAAATACGTATTGATATTTTTTGAAATTAAAATTTGAAAAAATAAAGAGAAATCGACGATACGCATTTTTCCAGTTTAATTATTAAATTTTACTCGTAATAATTATTATCGAATTTAGTTAGATTTTTAGCGGATAGATGGAGACACGAATGATTACAAAATCATACTGCCAGATTTGTTAAAGCATAGAGAAAATAAAATAAAAAAAAATTACCAAGAGTTTCCGCTTCACGAAAAGACAACCAAAAGGCCATTTCCTTTTCACGAAAGGTCAAAAAAATTCCGACGCTTCCCTTGCGTGAAAACTTACACACAGGAAAGAAGATTATGCTGATCTTTATCTATTAACGTCTCTCTCATTCATTTTTCCCTTTATACTTTTATTCTACACGACACAGTAAAAAAAGAAAAAGAAATACCCTTTAAATTTAGATGCTATACGATTCTCACCTCTAATAACAGAACTTTTAGGGAAAATCAATTCAGCTAATTCTTCGCTAACTTCCTCTCGAACCGAAGGTGTGATTGGAGTACTCAAACGATGTTCTTTTTGCAGTTTGGATCTTCTAATATCTCCTAACTAAAGTAGAAACAATAAATTATGCACTACTTTTAGATTTAGTAATGATAATACATCTTGAAAAATAATACAGTACGAATCTAATACATCAAAATAATGAATAGTTCTTCATATGTATATCGAATTACTGTTTACTTTTAAAAAATCATATCATATAAATAATGAAAATTTCCATATTTTCCTATTAAATACATTCCCCATAACTAAATAACGGCTCGTTCGATGTTAATGATTTTTACAGCTAAAAATTCGCTTCAATTTTACGATAAAATGTATCGATTTTTGGCATAATCCGACACCGGAAACGGAAGTTATTTAACATTTTTATCTCGTGCGCGTGACAGTGAAGCGCGTCAAAATTGAAATAGATCACTGGCATCTTTATTGTTTCCTTTTAAAATAATTTAAAGTAATTCTAACATTTAAAGCGATTTTGATCCGATTTTATTCACATTTTCGGAAAATGTTTTTATTGTAGAAACGTCATAAATGCATTTGCGTTAAGCCATATTATATTGCATTCGAATGTAACGTGTTATGATTTATTAAACATTCAACACGTTTAATTTAAACACCAGGGCATTACGATGCCTCGACTGGACATCCCCCGCCAACGTTACACAAATGCATTCAGAAACACTTGTAGAACTTACGACGTCTCCGGTTGTGTACGCGACTCGGTACATCACGTGGTAAAGGCCGTGGTCGTTTCCTGGTTGTAACAGGATGTGTTATTGGCTGAGGAACTACCAAGACTGTCCCGAACAGACACACAAGTATGCGTTAAATTGGCCCCTTTCCGACTTTCTAGATTGGTTTCGTTCATTTCTTAATTTTTGCTTTTTTTAGTACGGCCGCCGTTTATTTAAGTGGTGACGTAAAAATTCCTTTAAGAATTCCGATCAAATAGAGTAAACTAAAGTGTTCTTATCACATAAAATTACGATAGGGAGTTAAATACCAAAGGAAACAATATTAAGCGTGCCTTTGTCTGACATATCTGATGTATATATATTAAGTTATACTCTGATTTTAATCACGGCACACGTCCTTGTCCACAACACGTTTATATATTTATATACAAAACAATATCACGAGTNAAATTATTAATAAATTCGAGCGAACTCCAATCGTATCAAAATATTTCTATTAAAATAAATTTTAAAAAATACATTACAAGATGGCGCCCGAAGTAAATGAGTAAATGGCATTTTCTACGTCACGCATCTTGTCCAATTCTTTTTCTCCCCCCCTTATCATCGGCAATCTTTGAACAAAAAAGACGTGAGAAATCTTTTTCGTATCTACTGTCACGTCCTGGATGATATCTAAAAAATGTTGTGTACGTTCTCGTAATAGCCTCATAAAAGTTATCGTTACGGAATTACGAAAAGGTGGTAACGAGTTACCCTTATCCGGTAAATGCATCCATTAATATAAGGCGCGCCATTGTAAAAAGACGGTAGAGATGCCACTTTTCTATTTTAACCGGTTATTAGACTGTAAAAATTTAACATTTCAAGCTCTATATACGGATTCTCGCTTACTGTTAGAGAAAGGGCGTTAATACGAGTTTTAAGAATTTTTAGGCGATTATCGTCGGTGATAAATTTAAAATTAATTTTTTTTACATAATTTGCTCTTATCTAATCTAAACTTCGGGCATATTTTAAAATAAATTAGGAAAAAAAATTTTTTATTTAGTGGCGACATCTGTTGTAAATTTTTATAATTATTTTTTTAAAATTAAATTTAAAAAATTACATAACTTTATATTTAAATACAAGCGCGTTATTTAAAAAGATTTTTTTTTCTTACCGGAATTAAAAGGAAACGATAATAGGAATTCTAATTTTAGACTGAAAAACTATCTTTGATAGGAAACCTTTCACATCCAGTGTTTCATTAAAAACATAAGGATGTCTTTCTTATATTAAAAAATAATAATTATAAAAAAAATATTCTGAAATTTAATACTTGAAGAACGTATCTAAAAATACATTAATTTGTCCCTCGAGTTATCTTTTTAAACAGAAATTTGATCGAGAACAACACCAACTAAGCATAACTTTTCTATTAAGGATAATAAAAAGTTATTTAAAATAATAAAAATCTTAGGAAAAAGACGAAGGATAACGTGGCCAACAAATATGTTATTGACCCATTTAAATATATTACAGCTCGTGCGTGATGCTTCTTACGAGAACATCGCAAAAATCATGGACACATACGAGTTTTCATGCTCTTTCGAGCAATTATGTCTTCCCCAATAGAGTTTATTACTTCGTACAATTTTTTCCTCTAAGTAATTGCCCGTTTTCCCACAAAAAAATAACAACAATCTCATAAATAACATTTAATAAACTTAAAACATTAATGCGAAATACAATTATTTTGATAGAAACGAAACTATTCTGTTTGCGGTTAATCTAATTAACGTTTAAATGGTTAATGTAAAGACAGAAAAAAAAACAAACTAAAATGTATAATTTATTTAAATATGTTAACGTATGTAAATTATAAATACTGTGTTAAATTATAATTTGAATAAAAAATTGAGGAAGTAACTACAATGTAATTGAGGAAGTAATCAAATTTGTCTTTTAAGTTTCACTCATCTATGCTAGGTTTACTATAGACTTAAACGGGTTCAATGTTAACTTAATATAAGCGAATAATATACATTAGAATAAAAAGAAATTGTCCTTAATACTACACGGTTTTGAATCGGAGTTCACATTTCTTTTTTTTATAGTAAAAAAAATGAATTCAGTGATGTGAAAGTATTCCTCCCCGAAAATAGTTCTGCTTAGTTAATTTTCGTGCTTTATAAGTACCACACAGGGCGTATCACTTCTATAATTTCATTTATGACTCGTAAAATCAAATCCCCGTATCGATTTCTGAACTCCAAACATTAAATAACAGCGCTAAACATCTTAACAGCACTCGTATCTTACACATAGTTTACGATTAATAATACATTACCTGCAGTTCTTTAACAGAGTAATGGGTAAAAATCTTTTTGTCCATGGTCAGGACGCAATAGTAAGAAAACCACGCCGTAGGATTGTATTGATATCTCCATCTGTTTATGCCCAGTAAATCTGCACTTTCTAGAAAGAAGAAGAAGAAAAAAAAATGGTTTATCTTAAAAATTGTGACCAATAATTACCTAAGATTTTTACTAGTAAATAATAATATAGTAAAATTTAAAAAAAGGGATAAAATAATTTAGATACAGGTTATACTCGTATGCGAAGTTATTAATGGGCACGACCCGAAGCACGTAAAGAAAAATAATTAAAGATCCCGAGCTTCTTGTTTATTATATAATTTAATGCACCGAATATTTTCCTGGATTATATGTTTTTTAAGGTAAAAGTTTGAAAGAAGGTTGTTCACATTAAGATGATTTATTTCGAATAAGTTATTAACTAGTCCAGACTATTGGAAGAAAGTGGTCAGCTGACTAAAGATCCGTGTCAGTCACACAACGGTAGATATTCATCTTTCAGAAGACACTCTCTTAATGGAATTTCCTGCTCGGAGAGAACAATAGAGAAAAGAAAACGATGTCCAACGACCTATAATTGAGGTGACAACAACATATTTGTGTTTTGTCTAGCGTGAATGTCACACTCATTTTATTAAGGGTCTACAAACTCTTTTATTCGGATCGATTAAGATTTATACGGGTGGATTTATACATTTATAAATCATTAGTGTGGGCTAATAGAATCTCGATATCTTTTAAAATCTGAAAAAAAATTCGTTGGTGGAATCGTGCGGAAGTTCTGGTCAACAACTATCGCGCTACTTCCTGCTATTATTGCATTCCACCTAAACATTTCTAGCATAAAGTTGATTGGTTTGTTTATCATTACTTTCAGTTATTCTATTGTTCGATTTCTGATAAAAATCGCCAACACTTTAACGGATACGCAATTAAGATACCCGCCAATGTTATCGTAGCATTAAATCGAAAATGGTGGCGTGTCACACTATTAAATTATCCTCTCGACATCTTCCCATGCAATCGAACACTCGACATTTTTGTATTCCAAGCATCGAACTTTCGGTATTCCGAGTACTTATCACGTCGTGTATCGCTTACCTTTTCGATACATCTAGTAACCTGCCATTCTTATAAAAACTTTAAACGGAATAAAGAAACCGAAAGGCTCTATCGGAATGCCAATAAACTATAATCTTTTCGGCTACTAGTGGCCCGTGGACGATTATTGGTAAAGAATGGTACAAATCATACACAAAGAAAGTGCATTCGTTCTCACTGAACTGTAGTAGTCACGTTGTTCGTGATACTCATGACTTACAGTATCCAATTACGTTTCGAGACCTTGTAGTGGGTCAACAACATACCATTGGTCACAAAGAGCGAAATTAAACAAAAATTCAACTCGGTAAAATAACTAAAAGAATCTTTTGTAATTTTGCAATTACTAGAATTTCGATCTTGAAACCCTCAAGTGTTCAACGGCGTGTTCTAAATTAATGTCTCTCTTGTAACCAAAGTTTGTTGTTTTTTCTATATTTATTTGTTTTGACGTTTCCATCACCTTGTCAAGTATCTGTCGACAACTTACATCCGCCGCATCATTTTATTCTAAAAATCTAAAAGAATTAGTAGCAACCTTTTATAATATAAACAAATTATGATTTATTTGTTTACTTACATTTTATAAATAACGGAAATGATGTCACCGAGTCACGAGTTTACACCCATACTCTAAATCATCGCTAAGATTATCGATATCCTGAGTAAACCCGAAGAGAGTAGATAATTTTACCGCTTTATTATCTACTTTATATTTTGTTTTGTAGTTAAACAAATAAATGAAATCGTCGGAGAATGCAACGATATAATATTTTCTTTAAATTCATCGCTGTAATGTAAACTACACGTAAAATTATACACTTCAAACTCATAGAAACATAATAGTGTAAACTTTCTTCGATCGATATCCGATTTCTTTCTTCACGTTTCGGTTGATTTTAACGATGTAATTTACACACAAAAGAATGAAATGTATAGAAAAAAATTTCACGATAAACAATAAGCAATTAAAAAGTTTAATAATGTACTTATAAGTAAATAAATTCCCAACACTTCAGCAGTTTTATAAATCTAAAGTCACGTATTTTGTATTTATAATCATCACCCGATTGTCGAACAAACAAACATTATTATTTCGTCATCGAAAAAAATAATAATTTACACGAAAAGTGACGTACGAAGCCACGTATTTCGTACTTTATTCGGTATTAATCGCGAAATTTAAACGTAAAATAAGGAAATTTACTCGAGTAGCTTGTAAACTGACACAGAAAACTTACACTAGCGCTTACGAAAATTAGTTTAAACTTAGTGTAATGATTCTTAACGAGCTGTCATTTGAGAGAAGGAGGAAAAAAAAGGAATAATTTACTTCAACTAATTATGAATATTGGTATGAATTTTTTTTACTGACAAAGATGCACTGCTACTGTATAAAATTACTTACATATAGGACATGTTTTAGTTTTATTGTTCATTCATTCAGCATCATAAATGTCTGGATTATGTAACTAAAGCCGCATAAAGTTGGGTACAGAGTACCGGATATTAAAAAATCGACTCGAGCAGATGTAATGTTGAATTACTTAAAGTCATTCGATACACTCGGATGGTTTTTTGAAAGAGCGGCACATGAATGATTTTAAAGAGTAAGGTGCGAAATGTTACGCAGCCATTAGGGCTATTGGATTATAAAAGTATGTTAGAAGCCGTGAATCATTCGAGAATTCGTCACTAATGGGCGTAAAGTGCAATAAAATAGGGCTCGACTCCGTGTAACTTCGACCCACACGTTATAGGGAAGCCCGACTGGTTAAGGTCTTAATTTTAGCACCGTTACGGGTTCGAATTTAAAAAACTAGCTTCCGAATTAGTAGAAAAATGTCGTTAAATTGTCTATAATGTATGTTATAAAGGAAGTGCGAAGCGTAACAGGAAGACAGAGGAAAGGAGTTACGCAACTTCTACGAATAATTAAACGAGATTAAATAGAAAAAAAAACAAGGATTCTGAATATGTTTTAACTAGTAAAAACCGTTAAGATTAGATAAAGTTCCATTTAATTCGGCAAAGGATGTTAAAAAAAAATCTTGTCATCCATTTGAATAAGATGACATTGACTTCCTGTCATTGGTTCGTCACACATTGTTAGATTCTGTCTGAGTTGCCTGTTATACTAACAGTCAATTTTAATTCGCCCCGTATAAGTGTTTAATTATCTAATTGACTATTAAAAGATGTCGATGAATTTATTCATCAGCAGAGTTTAAGTAAAAGATCAACCTTCAATTAGATGAAAGAAGTCTTCTTTTATGAAGCTTCTTATAGCTTTATTAACAATATTATCTTCTATATTTTGAAGGCCGTAACGATATACGCGATTTATTTTGATATCAGTAACGAGGTGTAAACTTTCAGATTTGCGCCGACAAGTCTCGATTTTTATCACTTTTTTTTTAAAAATAAATCGTGAATTTTGGATTAGAATTACAGAATTTAGACACGTTTTTCTTTAATTTCGTACAGCGGCATCCCGATTAAAGAAGAAAATATTATCAAACTGTCAAAAACAATCCGTCAGTTTGTTATCACCATTTTGTTTTTTTTTTGTCTTCAATTTCTTTGACGAGACGTCACCCGGCTTAACTGTGCAATCACGTGATCGAATGTGACCCGGATAATTGGTCAATCTATTGTTGAACTAATAACTGAATTCGATAAGTGGTCCTCATTAGAAGGTCTCCAGAGAGAGAGAGTGAAAGAAAAATCGAATCTACTTCCCCCGTCTGTTATATCGGGGGTTGGTTTTGAAACAATGGTGAATATAATTCGAGATAGTCTGATATGATATTTTATTATATATGTATTTTTTATTTGTATATAGTTAAGTCTACATAATTATCACACGATTCTTTAATTATAGTGTCGCAATTACAGAATTAATAAGCAGTTTACCCGCCTGGCACGTACTTAATGACGTTGGAGACAGATTGAATGTCTGCGAAGCCAGTTTTAATTGCAATCAAGGATTTTTCGCACTTTTTTTTTTCCTTCCATCAAAACATTTGCAATGTTATGGTGCTTGATTGTTGTTTGCCGTGCAACAATATCGAGTGGTTGACCCTGAGAAAGTTATGATCGTGAGAATTTACGGTCATCTCTAACGAGGTTAGATAGAAGAAAAATTTCTGTCAAGAGGGGAATTTTAAACATTTAAAAATGTCTACTCAGACAGTGCATAGTTACATCAGGTACCAAGGACAAATATATCGAATCTGACACGAGATAAGGGTGCAGAGTTTGTAACTAAACACGGCGCAAACCAAAGTTTCAACGTAGTTAAAATTTGCAAGACTTTAGAACGTATATACATATTTAAATACACGAGACGACGTTTAAAAATGGCGCTATATAGAGGTAATTTAAATAAAACAATATAGTACTTACCGCAAATGTTAAGCCAGCCTTCTACTCTGCGCTGTATTACTTTCTGTTTAGTCATGGTTACGTGTTATAGTACACGCTAAACACAGCTTATAACACAGTTGCAGAACCATGTGCTAAACGTAACCACACTCGACCAAGTCATACTATCGTTTAAATGTTTTCTTTTAGCGCTCGGTGGCGCAACAAGTGCTCTGCGCAGGCGGACTCGTTCCTAGGTCATTCACATGTTACAGTATATTTGCTAGCGGCCATGTGACGTAGGATAACGTATAACAACAACGATGACCAACAACCGGTGTTTGTGCTTCTTATATCTATCTTTGTTTCTTCGGGCACGTCACTTCTTCAAATTTTTACTATTTTTAAATGTAAATATTTATACAGGATATGCTAAATCTATACGCTTTGGAATTTTTTCTGTGTAAATAATTTTTCTTTTATCTTCTACTGCGTTTTGGATAATAACAATTCGTTTATATCTAGTGTTACAGAGGCATTGTTCTATAAATATGAGTAATAAAATATTTATATCTTTAGTTTAAAACAGAAAAATATTTTTTGATTTAAATACAAGAATTAATTAAAGTTGAAACCATAATTCTAAATTGTTGATTCTTTGTAAAAATTTGAACAGACCTGGCATTGTTCTAATTGTGATGGTCATTGTCAGGCCTCCATTTAGAGGGAGAAACTTAAGCAGTCACTTTAAAGATACTTCTTATGTGTCCTACCGATTCTGTTTTATTCTATTGTCTCTGCTATATTTTTTTTGTTATTTTTTTAAAACTAATCTACATAAAGTAGCAATTTGCATTGTTTTCTGTACATTTTTTAAAACTGATACATATTTTATGTAGATTGAAGCCTAAAAAAGTATAACAAAAAGTCTTTCAATGGAATGATAGTAAAACTTTGTTTTAAATAAATTAAAAAAAATATATCTGTATTATATAATGTTATAAAACAATTCATTCAAATAACACATTTAAGTACTATTATTATTATTATTTTTTAATATAAATTTGATTACATAAATTTTGTATAATCATATGTACAAATAACAAAATATTGTTAAAATTTTAATTCAGATTGATTGATTGATGAGTCAGAAAAAATAATTTATACAAAACTGCTTTCAAAAACCGTTAACAATTACAGTTTGTCAGGTTTTATTTAATGGAGATATTTATCAACATCAATTCTATGATTTGCAGTTAAAAACATGATTATGAACTGTCCACTGTAAGTAAACCAGTACACCATATCAAGAGAATATTTCATATTTGATACCATCTATTTTCACAATCTGCAAAAGAAAAGTAGTTTAATGAATTAAAAAATAATATATTTACAGGCCAGTTAAAATTAACCTATGTAAAACAAATAGTGGGGGGAAAAAAAACTTTTTATAATACAGTAGAATCCACTAATTGTGTCTATACTGATAACAATAACCAAATAATGGCATAAAGTAGTGTAATTAAATAAGACTGCAATTAGTGAAACTTCTCATTAAAACAATTAAAAATATTATCAAAAAATCTTCAATTTATACAATTATAATTAATAATTATTATTATTAACTTACATGTTTTGGGACATCGTAATTACAATAAGCGAGTCTACTGTATCATAAAAATGTAATTAGTGATTATAACTAAATAATGATCCATTCATTTTATAGATAATTGCAATTTTTAAACCCTGGTAATATAATTTTTGTAAAAAGTTATTAATATAAATATGTTTTTGTGATGACTGGATATACAAAGTGGCCAAGATATATATATATATATACTACTGCTCTGAAATGGATCTAGGTTTGAATCTGGATTAAATTCTCAGCAATCTTTAATGAATGTTATGAACTCTCCCAATATCTAGCTAAATCTTTAATGAGTATTACTAAAACTCCTGTTAATGTGCATAGAAGAAAGCATTAATATATGTATTATATATCTTATATTCTTTAAAAAGGATTGAAATATATATATTAAAACCTGTCTTTTATAAGACAGATTAATACAACACTGGCATATTCTCGATTACAATGCACACTTTCTTTTTTTTTTCGACTTTCAACTCGGTCGTTTTCGTTCGCCCCTCAGTTACGTGTATTACGTCATCGATATACAAGCGCGTGGTATCTCTCCATCACTTTGGTTTTAGTTAGTTTACAGTATTTTTAAAGTTAAAATAAAATTATTTTTTAATCTTTTCTTAAGTACAATAAGAAAAATTGATTAATTAACACAGTAGAGCATCGATTATCCGACTCAATTGGGGACTGGGATTGGTCGGATAATTGAAAAGTATGAAAAAATCCATTATTAGTGTAGTATATTATTATATGCGATGTAATTAGTATATTAGTATTAACCTACTTCGTGTTGAATTTTCATCGATGTTAAGCCTAACAAAAATTTTTTAAAAATAATAATCGTCGCTATTGTATCGTTAAACATTAGAAAATCAAGCCTCGTTTAAATACTGGCTCCCTTTCATGGTCCAGCTAGTGTTGCCAGCTAAAACATGTAAAAATAATATTGAAGTAGCCAAGACATAGCCAAATATTGTAGCGCCACATCACTAGCGGACATTTGAATTTGCCGACTAGAACGGTCGGTTAACCGATGTGACGGTTAATCGATGCTCTACTGTAAAACTATTTTATTATTTTTTCTCATAATACAATTTCATTACATGGAAAAAGGAAGGTTGCCTGTAAAACTGATTTTTGCATTAATGCGTTTATTGTTTTTTGAGTATTTTGCCTGCGAAAATTACTTGGATATTATTTTTCTAAAAATATCGTGGAAATAAAGTAGATTGATACAGAAATTATTTATCGCACGTGTACTGTATATGAGCTTCAAAATAAATTTTATTAAACAATGAGATCAACCGATTAATAGTATCGTGTACAATATTTTATACTCCTAAGGAAAATACTGTAGATCTACGGTAAAATAAATTTCGTTTTCACACAGTTAAACTTCGCCGCTAATTGCCGTTGTGATAAACCATTTTCACTTTCTCTGAAGATCTAACGACCACACTTTGCATTTCTTTCGTTTTTCGGACAATTTCGACAAACTGAAATGAATTTCCTTTGTTGCTAGACTAATTCATTAACACCTGAACGTAATTTCGAGGGTTCGAAGAAGAGTTTAGACTAATTCGTTATATGAGGAGGAGGAAACGTTGTTGAGATGGATTCGAACAATAGTTTCGCGGAAGTGGTCGCTTATTACAGTTGCGTATGTTGTTTCGGATCAAAAATCGATGCCCACGGTCTATACGAAGACTATGTATAAACTATTCCGTGCCAGAAATTTTTGCCCGTTTTGACAGGTGCCCGTCGAGTGCGGGTGGTCGCCTAAGCAGTTATCACTGTATATATATATACACACACACTAAAAAAATATTGTAAAAAGTTATACAAAAGTAATTTGATTATATGAAATAAATAAAAACGGCATCATTGTTGAAGAGCTGCAAGCAGAAGTGTGTCATTTCAAAATAAAACAAATTAATTAATTGATTTTCTTTTGTTTACATGAATTCTCTCAGTAAACAATTTTTTTAATCGTACTCTTTCAAGTATCTATACATTGTAATGATGCGAATTCTTTACATCTATGCATATAAATAAACCTGTTCTAATTTTTATTTTATTTTTTAAAATATCACAAGAATAAATCTTGAGTTTATTTAGTTGTAATGTTAACAATTTTTTTTATCTTTTATTCAAAAGCATTTTTCAAACAATTGTATTAAATAATTGAGATGGCCGAGTAAAGCCAAGGACAAAAGTCTTGCTGTTGGTGAAGCGGTAAGTGGAATAATTATCCCTCTAACATTTACACCTGCCATTAAAAAAATGATTTAATTAGTCGAAATTTATTATTATCATATATATTAATTTTTTAGTTAGGTTTTTATTGCAAGTTGTTATTTAATTACGCACATTAATAGATTTAAAATATAATATTTCAATAAATTATCGTGCATATTCGAGACAATTGTCTCGGTGGAAACACAAAGATATACAGATGATATTATGGGTGATGTAGCATACTTGCAGTCACTGTTGTAAAAGTCTCTGGAACTCATTTCAGAAGTTTGGCAAAACCATATGGTGATGCTGAGTGTGTCATAAATTGATGCTTTCGGGTGATTCCACAGGAAAAAATCTAGTGGTATCGAGCCCGGAGAACGTGGTGCGATTCGGCAACAAATTGACAGGACAATGTGGAACAGGACCGTGTTGTCCTATTGATGTGTTGCTGAATCACTCTAAGCCACTGATGCACTTCTGCCCAAGAATAAGCTGGTTCACTATCCTATTATCAAACTTGATGTAGTTGATCCAATGGCAACTCATCAATCAATTTATCCACTATTGTGCATAGGATATTAAGTCACTAGTCCAGGTGCTGTCAATGAATCCAGAGCCAAGAATTTGATCACTGCAAATGCCATACCTGATATTTAATGTAAATCATACTTGTTGTTGCATATTTTGCATGCATTGTGAAACATGCCATGCCCAATGTTGTACATTATGGCAGTTATACACTTCATTCCGCGGAAAAAGTGTCTCATCAATCCATAAAATGTTCTCAAGCAGTTGTGGTTTGTCCTAGTATAAATTTATCATAAGTTTGCATGTTTCACATAGCAATTGAATGCATGTATGTCATGGCAATGTAAATTTGATGTGTTTTTGATTTCTTCAAGCCATGTTGTCTTGCTGCTTCACATATGCTTCTATGTGGATATGCATGGAAGTATACCAAAATTTCAATGTTGTAAAGACAAGGGAAATCTGGATTGTAATCCCCGTCTATGCTACAGATTTGTATCAACTGATATATTACATTCAGAATGATTGTATGCTTAGGTCTTGTATGTTTCATCTCATTTTTCCCATAAAGTATAATCATTTTAGAGTAAAATGTTCATGAATATAAGAAATCGTTGCAGATTTCTACCAATTTGCAGACTGTACAATGTTCACTCTTTTATAAGGACACTGGCATCTTGTGCCATAATGATTTATTTTTGCATTTATTTTGCATATTGTTTCTTTGTTTGGAAAACATATATTGCCTCAAAACTACTGAATGACTTACACATATTCATTTTTTGAATTTATTTATTTATTTTACTGTAAA